TTCAAATTTACTACGCCTGACATGCAAACAAAAATAAGCAGGCATGAAAAGTAACAACTACAAAATAGAACTCATAATGTGGAGAAAAATCTATCAATAGACAATGTCCCACAGATTACATAGATGATAGAACTAAACAAGGATAAATAAAAAATTGTTATTAAAACAAAATTGCATATATTTGAGTAATGACAGGGTAGGCCAAACATGCAAGAAGACAAAAAAAAAAAAAAAAAAAAATCGTGGAGGAATTTATGTGTGGAAGATAATTTAAAAGACTCAAGTTGAACTATTAGAGATAAAAACAGCAAGTGAAATTAAAAAAAAATTGAAAATCACACTGGATGGCATTTATGATAGGTCAGACATCACAGAAAAAAATTAGCATAAACATGAAAACAAATGCAATATAAACTAGCCAGTGAAATATGGAGAGAAAAACAAAAGTGCAAAGGTGAGAGATGGGTCAGCTTCACACAGCTCATTGGACCCATGATTTATGCCCATAGAGAAGCTGGTAAAAACATTTGAAGGAATAAGGCCCCCCCTTCTAAATATTATGAAGACCATGAAGGCAAAGTTTCAAAGGGTACAAGCAAGCACAAATACAAGACATGGGAAATAAAAGTACACCATGGTATATCATAAAGTGCTCCACCAACAATACGGAGCACACCACACCTTACATAGGCCATGGGGAAGCCTTTATATAGAGGAACAAAGGCAAGATTTTCGTTGTCATTGTTGGAAGCAATGCAAATCAGAAGAGAGTGAAGCAATGTCTTAAAGGTTCTGAAGGGGAGGGGGAGAAGAGTTACTAAGCTGTAATAATGTGTTTCACATGTTCTACTCCAGAGCATCAATGAGAGAAAAGGCCCTGAGCAGTGCTGCCTGGCAAGCTTGGTCAATGCTATGTTAAAGATGAAGAAACAAAGTCACTGCTGAGAACCCCAGAGGACCACTTAACATCACCTGAAAGTCTACCATTCTTGTGAGCAACGTGTAAAAACCACTAGATTGGCTCACTGAGTATCAGTTCCCAGCCTTTTCCCTTTTTTCTATCACCATTCAGGCTACAAAGTAAATACTTGTCATCCCAGCCTCCCTTGCAGCTTAAGATAACACATTTGGTTCAGCTTGGGTCAAGGAGATGCATTTAGAAGTCCCTGGTAAAGGTTCCTCTTCCCAGCTAACATGGCAAACACACCGGTAGGAAGAACAATTATTCTGCACCTTCTGCTGTGCTTTCCATCTGAGAGGAATGCAGTCAGGAGTGCTGCAGACACACAAGTTATCTCGTGACCATGAAGTATGTGGTGGTTTGAAAGAGAATGCCGCCGCGCCCCCCCCCCCCACAGGGAGTGGCACTATTAGGAGGTGTGGCCTTGCTGGAATAAGTGCAGTATTATTGATGGAAGTGTGTCACTGGGAGACACACTGGGAGAGTGGGGGTGGGCTTTGAGGTCTCAGCTCAAGAAAGGCCTACTGGCTCACAGTCTCTTCCTGCTGCCTGAAGATCCTGAAAAGCACAATTCTCAGCTCCTTTCCAGTACCATGTCTGCCTGCGTGCTGCCATACTTCCTACCTAAAGCTCTGAAATTGTAAGCCAGTCCCAATGGAATGTTTTCCTTTATTAAAGTTACTATGGTTGTAGTGTCTCTTCACAGCAATAAAACCCAAAGACAAGGTAATAAGCAAGCACACAGAACTAATGTACTCTATACAGGTGGTAAAACAGTCAACAGACTCCTTATTTTTAACACTTTGGGACAGATTTTCTGTTTTTAGTCATGCAATTCTAACCACTGATTACTGTGGGTGGTAAGGGCTCATGCAAGGGAAGCAGAGGCGAAGGCCATTAAACACAGTAGAGGTGGGGTCAAACATTCAGGGATGTACTAGTCATTTCTAGCAATAGAAAGAATAGGGGAACAGGAATTTTGGAAAGCCTAGATGAAGATGTGAGGAAAAACATCTTATTAAATTGGATTCCTGGTTCTTTCCATGGCCTGAGGAGTTTGGGGAAAGATGATCCTGTAAATGCCAACCTTTAAATTTTTTAATTAAATATATTGTATATGTGTGAAAAGGGTGGAGTTTAGAGGTCAACTTTTGGGAGTGTGTTCTTTTGTTCTACTATGTGAGTCCCTGGAATCAAACTTAGGTTATCAGGCTTGGTAGCAGGTACCTTTATGCTCCAAGCCATCTTACTGGGCTTACCCTTCCTTTTTCGTCTTTGTTTTATTTTTTTGAGCCAGGACCTTGCTTTGTAGCTTTGACTGGTCTGCTATTTATTATGTAGCTGGCTGACCTGGATCCTGCATAAGTCTCTCCTAGTCCTGGGATTACAGGTGTGTGCCACAAGCCCAGCCAGTTCTTTTCAATACAATAGGCAGTAAATATTGTAAACCATCCCCGATAATATATAAAAAAGATTATGAGGATAAGAAGTGACATCTTTACAAAAATTTGCATTTTATTTAGTTTTTTATACTAACCTGGCTGGTACAACTGAAAGAAAGATGCAACTATTACCTAGCATAATAAACCCAATTGTTAACAGATTGTGCCATAAAGGCTTTCATGACTTCAAATGGAGAACACAGCTCTTCATTTATTATTGTTGTATACACTGTCTTTAACATCGTATGACATATGTCAGGTACAGCAGCATTTTTCCTACAGAGAACAGTGAGGATGAAACACAACATGGACAACATTAACATACATTTACAAAGTACAACAAGCACATTAACAATTACCTTCATCAACACACACTGTCATTTTGAAGCTGTGGAATACATAATATATTATGTCAAATATGGGGTTTTATCATATCTATTACTTTTTTGATACTTTCCTGCTCTATGTATCTCTTTTCATTCCAGCTATGAAACATGAAAAAGTGAAATGTCGAGGAAGAAACCTAGATAAAAATCTCTTTTAAGAGACAGACAACAAAGAATCTACCAGAATCCTTTGCCCTTCCTGAAGCATCAAAGATCCAGAAGCCAGGTGTCTGGCTTTTCCAGGTCACATTCAGCCAGTCTTCCAGATACTACTAAAAGAGGAAACAGAAGCAGGAATCCTTGTTAATGGAGAAAAGTCTAGAAGAACAAACACATTTCTGACATTATTTCCAGGCTAGTAATGAAAGGAAAGATGATACAGTACTAAATTTTTCTTTATAGGTCTTTGGTTTATTTTGTTACATTATCACTTTTGTAATAGAAAGATTAATGAGGACACTGTTAAAGAGAAGCAACTGCTTTGTTCATTTGTATTTAAGGCACAGTTGGGCATGTTAAAAAGGAATAGAAAACCGGAAGAGACTGACATTCTAAAGGCTAATTCTTTGTTAATAGCAGTTTTATGAGGTGGAGAGCCATCAAGGCAGCCTCGGGGTGGTGGTTATAGAATCTTAACAGCTACATTTCTTCCAACCTAAGCTCCCATTCTAGGGGACAGCCCAATGCACTCCCTGGGATTAAAAAGTGCCTGGAAGTAGCAAGTGCTCTAACTCACAAGGAGTCCTGCTTAATCAGTTATTTGCAGTCTTTTGTTCTAGCGGCAAATATCACATACATTTGAGGTGAGATGGAGGGTTCTACAGAGTAACACATCCTCTGCCTCTTCGAGCTCTTGCTTTGCTCCTCACCAGAAGATGCTATTGCCACACTCCCATTACTGATTTTTAGGCTTCCCACAATCCTGCTATGCAGAAGTGAGGAGTCTGCTTAGTGGGCCAAGCTCTAGCAAAGTTACTAGAACCTTCCATCATGTTTCTCAGCTTCACCACTGCCGACCTTCTCAGCACAGCAGCATCCTGGGCTTCTAGGCACTTGAGACTAGCAGTAGCACCTTCCATGCTGCCTCCAAACACACACATCTCTGTCAACTATCCCAGGAGACAAAATCACTCCAACTAGGGTATCACCACACCAATAATGGGAAGATAGTTTTTAAAAAAACTGCATCAGTTTTACTCCCTTGAATCTTTTTTTTTTTTTTAACTGACCTCAGAATAAAATTCAAACTCTTTGCTGTGATTTCCAAGATTCTGTATGAACTGGCATCTTCCTCTCTCTCTGTCTTTTTTAATACTACATTCTCATAAACTAACTGGTCTTTCTGTTCCACACACATCTTCAGTTTGTTCTCACTGACCTTTCATGCTGGCTTTTCCTCCTGTCTAGAATGGACTCCCTGAAAGATCCTGGTATGGGTCACCGTTCATGTGCACAATTAGCAGGGCTTTCCCTGCTCTCTACTAGACTCCTTTTCTTTCACATGAGCTCAAGAGAACTTAGCTTTCCCCTTTGTTTCTGCCTCTTCACTAGAGGGAGATCTTTTTTTGTCTGTTTGTTTTTTCTGTGGCTTTAGAGGCTGTCCTGGAACTAGCTCTTGTGGATCAGGATGGTCTCGAACTCACACAGATCCGCCTGCCTCTGCCTCCCGGGTGCTGAGATTAAAGGCGTGCCCCACCACCACCCAGCCTAGAGGGAGATCTTAGTCTTTTCCACTGTTATCGATGACATGCTCTGTCTGACTAGTACTAACCCTAACAGTAGGTACTCAGTAGCCATCCTCTGTCAATCTCACTCCTCAGGTAAGGTGTCAATGGCTTCCTTTTCACTTTCCCTTCCAAGAGTATTTTTTATTAATTGATTTGCCTTCTTTTTCTAACACCCCCTGACCTATTTAGAAAAAGCCTGTAGGTGGAGTACAACATAGGGAAGCTTATTATGAAATACATATAAAAGCCAATTAATAATCCATGAAAGACAATTCTTTGCTCTGTAGGTTTGAAGCACTACATAATCAAGCCAGTGGTCATGAATTCATGACAAATTTGGTCCTTCTTCGCAAATTTCAAGTGGTTAAGGCATTCTAGAGGGACCTAAGGCCACAAAACTTACCTGGTGCAGAGACTCAAAGAGCCTCTTTGTCCATCGGCCAGGTATATACAGTCTGAAACCCTTCTGTGCTGGCTTCAAGTTAAATAATACACTGGGTCAATAGCAGGGTGGTCTAAGGTGCTGCAGTTTCAATACATGTTGGCAGCTCCCAGAAACCACAGCCAGTTTCTTACACTGATTTATGGGCCGTTTCCATGAAACCAAAGATACTTGGCTCGCCTGGAAGCTGGCTGGCTGGCAACTGGAAACACTTCAGTCCTGGCTAAGGGCCATGGCCCTTGGGAAGCACTTCATCGGGCCTTTTTGGCACTCTGGCGAGCAGCTTGCTTGTCCCGCCTGGCTGGGCTCTCTACACGGTGCACAGTCGTCTCCACCCGCAGGGATGACGACGCCCTGACGTGGCTGGAGGACGTCTCCGTGCACTGCGAGGAGGTTTCCACGTGCTGGGAGGATACCTCGAGGAATCTAGGGAGTCGCTTCGCGGAGGAGGTGAGGCAGGGTCCCTCTCGGTGGAGCTGAGAGGTCTCCACCTGACGGGAAGACGTTCGGACCTGACGGGAGGACGTCTCCACGCGGTGGGATGATGTTTCCTCGCGGTGGGACGACGTCTCCACGCGGACAGTCGACGTTTCCTTGTGGCGGGTGCCTTCCACTCGCGGGGCGAAGGATTTGCTCCTAAGGGGCGAGGCCATCCTGCAGGTACACCCAGGTCAGGAGGGACAAAGAGACCCAAGGCTCATGCTCTGTGTCACGTCACACAAGGAGCAGTGACATCAGGATGGCGAGCTACGTCAGCGTAGGCTGCAGGACACAAGATCTGCAAGCAACAAGATCTTCCAGCACGCCGCATTCGATTGCTGCGCGCGCTGCGAACCCAAGCCAAGCAAATAGGCGGGGCCCAGGCCATGCAGATAGGCGGGGCCTCTCGTCTCAGAATGAGGCTGTCCCCGCCCTCGAGTCCCACCATGCCCCGCGACCGGAAATATGAGCCGTTGCTTCCGGATCCTCCCTCACTTATTTGAAGCTGCTGCTCGGTCGGGTTGGTTGTGTTCGCGTCTCTGTACTGGTTATGGCTGCGGCCGTCGCTATGGAGACAGGTGCGTGGTGCCTTTCGCCGGGGAGGGGGATCTTCACCGAGGGAACCGTCCTTTCCCGCCCCCTTCTCTCCCGTTTCCCTGCGCCGTCTTTTGGGCTTAATTCGGCATCCTTAGGAGTTGGGACCGGCGAGGGGAGAAGGCGGTGTTGTCTCTGGCCTGGGCTGCTCAGACTTCCACCTCCGGCCGGGGTGGGACTGAGGGAGAGGACCGAGCCCTTCAACTGTCTGCTCATTGGAGCTTTTCCCGTGAACTTGTTTGAAATGTCTGTAACGTGCATTGTTCTAATACGGATTACCGTCTTCGCTCCGCTGTTTAATCATTTTGTATCTTGCTTCCTGCTTTTATATAGCATTTTGTTTTTGCTTAACGTAATCGCTGTTAGAAGTTGTGGTTATAACGCTAACATGGGGGTGACACAGCTGTTACAGACTATCCAGTGATCTCTGTTAACCCATAGTGGCCTACAGGTGGTAAATAGCCATTCCATTTATTTTCCTCAAGTAACTTTAGATCTTTGTTTTGTTTTGGAGACAGGGTCTCACTATTACTGTTGGCCTGGAACTAGCAATGTACACCAGGCGGCCTGGAATTCACAGAGATCCTTGTGCCTCTGCCCCCAAGTGCAGGGACTAAAGGCGTGCGCCACCTGGGTTGTTTTACATCAGGCTCCACTCTTAGATTTCTACGGAAGTTTCTCCAGCATTTTGATATTTGTTTCATAAATTCAGTCATATGGGGATGGGGAGGTGCATGCCGAGGTCAGAGGACAACTTACAGAAGTCCGTGGTCTTCCTGAGACCCTGAGGGTTCAGGGATCGAATTCAGATCATCACTTTGCTGCAAACACCTTACTTAACGTGCTGAGCTGTCTCACTTGAAGTCAAATTTTGTTGCTACAAATCATTCGTATTGTGACTTTTATTTTGGGTATTTTTTTTTTTACTGTTTTTTCTCCTAGATGATGCTGGAAATCGACTTCGGTTTCAGTTGGAGTTGGAATTTGTTCAATGTTTAGCCAACCCAAATTACCTTAATTGTAAGTTGAGTACATCATTAAGTTGAATAGCTAGCTGTTAATGATTTCTGACAGAAGAGATGTAATTCATAATAATAGTATTTACTTTGTTATGTTTGAGTGGGATTTTACTTTCGATGGTCTGTAGGTATTAACTGAGCAAACAAGGACTTGTGTTTTTTTTTTAATTCCTTGTGTTGTGATGGTAGGGATGTTAAAAGAGCTACTTTATTTTAGATAACAAGTCAGTAGTTCAGCAATTGGTTGACATACAGATTGTTTCTTTATTCCTTTCAGTTCTTGCCCAAAGAGGTTACTTCAAAGACAAAGCTTTTGTTAATTATCTTAAGTACTTGCTTTACTGGAAAGAGCCAGAATATGCCAAGTATCTAAAGTAAGTTTAATTTTTATAATCTTAAATCTGTGTGTACCTTATTATACATATGAAGTACTGATATTAGCAGTGGGAAACTATGCTCTGAATCTTTCTGCTTTTAGTTAATGTAAGACAGTGACATCTCTGAATTGTTATAGTAATCTCACTTATTTCTATCATTCTTACCTCACTCCCTTCAAACCAAAGCCAAACAGTTGTCTTTCGAAGCCAGCTTACTCTCTTAGTAATATAAATCAGAACATGCCACTTCTATTCATGTAGGATAAAATCCAGTAACTGGTTTTAGAATAAGGCTCTAATTTGATTTGGTCTTTCTAACCTTGCCGTTTAGCATTCCCCTTGTCTCTGTGTTTTTAATGTTTTAATGCCTACCAAACCATAAACTACTAAAATGCAGTGGCATAGCCATAAGCTGAAAATAAGCACATAGGAAGTGTGGTTTCTGGGAGTCTTAGACTTACTGTCCTATATAGTGTTCTATGTGTCAAGTACTGTGCTAAATGTATCGTGCACTTTAACTCACTGTAAACCAAAAAAAAAAAAAAAAAAAAAAAAGATGCAAACATGGACACTATCAAGTTTTTCAATTTCATTATAAGATTTCTTGAATTGTAAGAAACATTACAACTGCACAGCTATCCCTTTTAATAATAAAACAAAACCTTGAATCGGCCCTCTGCTTTATCTTAAAAAAAAGAAAAACAAGCTCCCAATATTTGGGAGGCGGAGATGGATGAATCTCTGAGTTCAAGGCCAACCTGGTCTACAAAGCTACTTCCAGGACAGCCAGGGCTACACAGGTAAACCCTGTCTTGAACTCCTCCCCTAAAAGGATGGACAACAAAAAACCAGAAATTTTAGCCCTATGTCCCTTTAATCCCAGCTCTCAGAAAGCAGAAGCAGCAGATCTCTATGAGTTTCAGGCCAGCTTGGTTATGTAGCAAGTTTTGGGCCAATCAGGGCTACATAGACAAATTCTATCTTAAAAATTAGAGGGAAACATTTCAAGCCTTTTCTTTACATCCTAGTCACTTCTGAATTGGTCCTGGACTGCCTGTAGAACTGATTGCACCTGATTTGCTCTTCATGATACAGTTGTTGATTCCTTTAGGAAGCTGAAGGAGAGACTTTAAGTTATTAGGAGGTTATAACATCAGTGCTAGCAGATTTACAGACTGAACATTAAAAGCCTCAGTCACTTTTAATTCAAGTTCAGTCTCACCAGCAGAGTTGTTGTACAGTGACTATCTGTACTCTGGTTGGAGGCCTCCAGTGAGCATATCACTCTGTTAGAGGAAGCTTACTCCACTGAGATCCAGAGATTAGACAACTCCTCCCTATATTGTTATCAGACAGACCTCCTTGTAGCTCTAACCTGTTTGTAGATTTTTTTTTCCTGTTAATCTGAGCCCTCTTGGACAGTAGCTATAGATGTTTAAATTCAAAAGCGGTTGTAAATTAACCCATGTTGGCCAATTTCATTGTTATCTGCATATGGTTTTAGATTTTTTTAGATAATTGTCAAATTTTAAAGATGGGAAGATTTTATGTAACAGAATTCAGACTCTTGAACCTTGGGAAGAGCTGAGGCCTTCTTTTTCACAGGTCAGCGGCTGGTTGCAGCTGAGGAGTGCTGTCCCTTCTAGACTTCCCAGCATGTGACCTGCTTACTGATAGCTAGTACATGCAGCAGCAGTGTGCCTTCAGTCAGTTTTTTTAGTGCCATGGGTTTCCAGCGTTCTCAGGAACCCCTCTATTATCTGGCAGTTCAACAAAAAACTAAACATAAGCCAAGCAAAGTGGTTCATGACTTTAATTCCTGCACTTGGAATGAACAGAGGGAAATCTCTTGAGTGGGAGGCTAACCTGGTTTATATAATGAGACCGTGTCTCAAGATGAAATAATTTGGGAGGGGGGTGGCTAGAGAGATGGGTTAGTGCTTAGAGCACTTGCTGCTCTTGCAGAGCATTCAGACCTGAATCTTTCATATTCCCATGAAAGGGAATTAGCTAGTATAGTGGGAATAGAGCATTCTGGGCTGAGCTATTACAATTACAGACAACTCTATTTGAAATATAAATAGTAAGCCATTACTGGAAGGGAAGCATAGCATTGGTTCTGCAGTGCAGTCATAGCCATTTCTACCCCCACCCCTGTGTGCCCCCCCATACCCACTTCTTATTTTCTTACCACATCCTCTTCCTCCTTCCTCCTTTTAAAAGCTCCAGGACAAAATTGTTAGTGCTTACAAGAAAATACCCTGGGGCAAGCAAGCTTCCCAAAGGAGGAGAATGGAAGGAAGAAGGAAAAAAAGCCTTGCCCCTTGAGTTAAGCTGACATGGGAGGCAGCAGGAAAGAAGGGGGCAAAGAAAAAGTATGGAACCTCAAAGTGTTAGGGGAGGCATGCTTAGCAGAGAGATAGGAAGACTCCATTAGATTCTATTGTCCTATTGGTGTCCTTTATCTAGTGTGGCATCCAGTCTAGGTTTATATGTTACATTTTGTCATCCTATTTTCTTAGTCTTGAATTCCTTGGCATTCTCTCTGCCTCCCTCTCCCCTCCCTTCTCTCCTCCTTCCCTTCCTCTCTCACTCAAACTGTTTCTCTTTTTCAGGCTGACCAAATGCTGACTTTCTACTTTTTACTGTGTGCTTCTTGGTTTCTCATAGTACAGAATCAGATGAAGTCTGTTTCTCCCATTAGTGATATTAATTTTGATCCATTGTGTTAGGTGGTGCCTTCCAGATTTCTTCACATCAAGTTACTGCTTTGTATGTAATAAGTAACTTGTGGGGGAAATACTGAGACTATAGACGTCTTGTTACATAAATTTTATTCACTTATTTATTTATTTTATTTTATTTTATTTTATTTTATTTTATTTGAGACAGGGTTTCTCTATGTTACAGCCCTGGCTGTCCTAGAATTCTTTTTGTAGACCAGGCTGGCTTTGAACTCACAGAGATCCTCCTGCCTGTGTCTCCTAAGTGATGGGATTAAAGGCGTGCACCACCACCACCTGGCAATGTTAGCATTTTTTAATCAAGTAATAATTTAGTTTAACCTACAAAGTGATGGGTGCATCATAACATCTTCATACATGTGTCTTTGTACTTTGCTCCCGTGTTTACTTCTCCCTAATTTTAGCACTATTGCAGATACTTGCCTCAGTTTTTTTCTGTGGGATTTTCTATCATTCTATATTTATTAGTCAGAATTCTACATTAAGGAAAAGCACTCCCTTGTTACTCATTCAAACATGTGTATCTGTCAACTTTTGGATTCTTGTTTTTATCCTAATTTTTTATTCTAATTATTCCAGCAGAATTGGCTTCTGGAGCACCTTTAGATGGCTCTTATGTACTTCTGACATCCTCATCCATGTTTAGCATTTCTTTTTGACATGTTGTACTGTGCATTCATTCTAACCCTGGAATTAGTTGTTTTGAGGAACTCTGGAAAAGGCTATTTGAGAACAAAGCTCTAGAGACTTAAGTGTGCTCATTGATATTAAAGTGTTTTTGTTTGTAGGCCCTTATGCATACAAAGCTAGGAACAGTATGTATGAATATGCTTGCATATGCACACATACATATCTATGGCTGTTTCTATGTGTTTGTGTTAAAAGCCATGAGGATGGAGCTGGAAAGAGGTCATCAGTTAAGAGCACTGGCTGTTCTTCCAAAGGGCCCAGGTTGATATACCCAGTACCCACATGGTTGCTTACAAACATCTAGTCCTAGGGGATTCAGTGCCCTTTTGTGACCTTCATGGGCACTGCATGCCTGTGATACATAGACTTACATGCAGGGAAAATACCCATAAACAAAGTAATTTTTTAAAAGGCCACGAGAACATACTATTTGTAGTTCCAGCTCAGTGACATGACATGTGTCCTACCTGCCCCTTTTCCCTCTCCTTATCCTTTTTTTGTTAATCAAATATTTAGCTTCTTTTTGCCCTATTGTGCTTGTCTTTGCTCAATACTATAGTATACATGATTTCTTGTTATAATTCCCATGGAGAATTAGAGCATAGTATTTATGGTTTTCTCAGGTTTCCTGAGTATTTATTGAACATACAACTATTGTCAAAGTCTTCAGAGCCAGTGAGATGGCTCAGTGGGTAAAGATGCTTGCCTGTAAGCCTGATGACCTGAGTTTGATCCCTGGGACCCCATGGTGAACTCCACAAGTATCTCATGGCATGCCCTCACTCTCCTTCTCACACAAACACTAAATAAATAAATGCAATAGAAATGTTTAAATTGAAAAGTGTTCATGTTTCTCACTTGGAAAACTAAGAGTATGGTTTATCTACCAATTTTGACATTGCTTAACAGTTTACAGGTTGTGTGATCTTGGGCAAGTTACTTAAGGTTTCTGAACTTAATGTTCTGAAATAACATGGTGGGAGTGACATTATCAAAAGTGCTATTTAACAGAAATTGTAGGCTTAAGATCATTTTTAGGGGAGTATCTGAATTAGAACTTGGGATGCCTTAAATTATGTTGATAATTAACTTATGAACTTAAACCCAGGTACCCTCAGTGTTTACACATGTTAGAACTGCTCCAGTACGAACACTTTCGAAAGGAGCTGGTGAATGCTCAGTGTGCGAAATTCATTGACGAACAGCAGATTCTACACTGGCAGCACTATTCCCGGAAGCGGATGCGTCTTCAGCAAGCCCTGGCAGAGCAGCAACAGCAGAATAACACAGCAGGAAAATGAGAGCTGGGGACAGAACAGACTCTTGGGACATGTATATAATGTATCGCTATTGTACAGTACTGGTAAAAGAAGACTCTTCTGCCCACCTTTATTATGTAGCACTCGGAACCATTAGTAGTAGTTTTGGTCGGCAGGCTTTATATTGTTAATAGATTATTTCTTTTAAACCAGAATTGTCCTACTTTGATTTCTGTGGGGATTTGTCAATTTCCATTGCATTTAACAGAACCAAGTGAATAAGAATGTAAATGTTAGGTGTTGTAGAACAGTTTAAGAACATGAGTGTGACACCCTAAGCCAAATCATCTCTAGGAACCTTACTGAAATTAGCTCCCCCTCACCCCATCCCTCTTTCTGTAGGAGAGGACATACTCAGTTGCTCCCTGCTTTGTATGATAGCTGACTTACAGGTGGCAGGGAAAGACTGGTTGTTAATGACTAATTGGACTCTTGTCTTTCAATGTAAGCCTCAAATACCTTTCTTTGGGAAAGTTAGCATTTATTTGACAAGTACCACAAGTAGGCACTACCTTAAAATGTTTCTTTTAATCTACTTCAAGAAGATTTTCATTTTATGTGTCTCAGTGAATTGCTTGCAAATATGTGCGTCATGTCCCTGGTGTCCAAGGAGGCCAGTAGAACATCAGATCCCCTGGAATGAAGTTGAAGGTGGTTGTGAGTCACCATGTGGTGTCAGGAACTAAACCTGGATCTTCTGCAATAGCAGCAAGTACTGTTGACCACTAGCCCTCATTTTTTCTCTATTTTTTGAGACAGGGTTTCACTTTGTAGCACAGGCTGCCTTGGAACTTGTGATCCTTCTACCTCAGTCTCCTGAGTACTGGCTCACATGCTGCTTTAAATGCTTTTTTTTTTTAATGTGTGTGAATGTTTGGCTTATACAAGGTATGTCTGTACCACTTGCATGCCTGGTACTCTCAAAAGATAGTATCAGATCCCCTGGGTAGAAGTTACAGTTTTGAGCTGCCATCAAACCCAGGTCCTCTGGAAGAGCAACCAGCACTCTTAACCACTAAAACACCTATTCAGTCCACACTCAAACAAGAATGTTTTATTTGTAGAATAATAGTTGGACTTTTCATTTGTGACAAGGTCTGGTACTGCAGATTACCCTTGCTTCAGACTCCTGCCTTAGCCTCTAAAATGGTAAGATTATAGGTGAAATGAGATGTAGACAGTAACTTGGCTTGGCTTACCAACATGTCTCTTTCCAAGAGAACCATATTTCAGATAGTTGTGAAACAAACTGCCTGAATTAAACATATGCATTCCATGTGTCTTCTCTAAATGGTTTATTGAAGTTCCACATTTCAAAGGCAGAAAAGGGTTTTGCAAATACATAGCTACAGATTTGGAAGTTAGCAAATTGTCTATCTTCAATATTTCCTCTGAGCTACTATTGCCATACTGAAGATGTATGTTACAAAACTAATTGGAGGTTTGTATTTTAATTCTTTATTGTTTAGACATACACTGATCAATTCAAAGCAAGTACGTGGCTTCTTTTAAGCAAACCAGGAAATCAACACACAATTGTGATCATCAAATCTTTTGTTTGTTTTTGGAAACCAGGTTTCTTTGTATAGTCCTGGCTTCCTGGAACTGTGTAGACCATGCTGGCCTTGAACTCACTGGTCCACCTGCTTTTGCCTCCCAAGTGCTGGGGTTAAAAGCATGTTCTACCATCAACCCAGTGCTATCATCAAATCTTAATCTTCAGAGAATATCATTTCCACGAGGTTGGCCTGAAGGCACTCAGATTCCACAAGTTTTTGGGGCTGTAGAAAAAAGAAAGGTTAAGTTTTAACCACTGCTATTTATGTTACCAGGGGTATAGTGAATTCTACTGGAATTTTTGGACATAGAAATGTTGCCATCAGAAACTATCAGCTAGCCAGGCCTGGTGACGCACACCTTTAATCCCAGCACTCCAGAGGGCAGCCTGGCCTACACAGTGAGTTCTATCGGAAGTCAGAAATACACAAAGAAACACTTTGGGGAAGAGGGAGGGGAAGAGCTAGTTATAACAAGCTTTATGAAATAATTATTTGTCTTAAGATGAATCATTAAAATACTTGGCCCAAAGGGCCTTAATCTTCCTTACCAGGAAGCCCCATAGACTGAAAACAAGAGGCGGCAAGCCCAGTGCCATCTTTTTCTCTCTCTTTAATTTAGGATCTTAGGGGCAGGACTGAAATAAAAGGAGAGCCCTTTTAAACCTGAAAAATAGAGTTCAAAAACAATGACACAGGTGCTTCCAGGAATGAGTCAACTTTCTCCTGAACACAGAATCTTAAAAGTGGCTGGAAAGTACTTCCCAAACACCTAATATCTGCAATATTAACAGTTCGTTGGGATTGGCTGGGGAATAGGTACCAACTTGTGTTTCTGATGCACTCTGAACAACAATGTGATACTGAAAATTAAATATTAACAGGCGGTGGTGGCACACCTTTGATTCCAAGCACTTGGGAAGCAGAAGCAGGTGGATCTCAGTGAGTTTGAGGCCAGCCTGGTCTACAAAGCAAGTTTCAAGACTTACTCAGAGAAACCCTGACTCAGGAAGAAAGAAAGATGTCTAAATGTGATGATCTTTTCAAACATGACTTTAAATAACTTGAGTTTTAACTGTATTATAGCCATAACATAAAGGTAGATACTCACCGTCCCATATTTAAGTAGTGTAGGCACTGCAGTTACTTTCAGTTTTTGTCTGAAGTCATTATTTGGGTCTTTCCAGCTATTCCAAAAGGAAAAGGATCATGAAAAACACCACTTGGTTTATTACAGTTTATTCAACAGTATTTAGTATACTAGTAATTACTGCTTTTGTTAACATTTAAACATTTTGAAGATTGAAACATATGTATCACTCTCTACAAAGTTTACATTTAAAGTGTGGCTAAGATAGCTGGGTGGTGGTGGTACATGCCTTTAATCCCAGCACTTGGGGGGCAGAGGCAGAGGGAACTCTGTGAGTTCAAGGCCAGCCTGGTTTACAAAGCTTTATGTGACTGAATATAAATGTTAAATTTGAATTCAATAATTCTAATTGCTTGGCTTATCAGACATTACCTAAAACAGAGTCTGAGCATTTAAATCCTTTCAGCCTAAGTTTTTAAGAATCTGGAGATACGGTATACATGAACACTTACTAAGATCTGTCTCCTACTTGGCAGTAGATGAACACACTGTCTTCTATAACATGCTTCAGCCCCGCTCGAACGACTGGCTCAGCTTTTAAAGAAAGTTAAAAATAATTACACATCAAACTGCGATAGCCTGCGCCCAGCCCCCACCTCCCCTCCCCTCCCCTCTCCCCAGTCTTAGTAGACTTTAGCCTGCAGTAAGAATGAGGATGTTAAGAGTCAGGTGTTCTCTTAATCACTAAATCGTAATCCTGTCTTTAAGACACAGCCAGGACATCAGAAAGCACACATATTTGCTAACGAAAAGACGAACTCGTGAGTCTGTAAGACACTAATCATTTGGAGAACTGAGAATTTTAAAAGGATCAGGCTCCAGTCCATGAGGGCCACCCTTGGGTGGCGAGTAAGGACCAAATGAGAGACTCTAATGCGGATCTACGGGAACAAGATCATCTTTGCCTCCACAATCCCACTTTCTGGCTTTAGTAGGGGCCTTCTTTCCACCACTTCTGAGGTGTAGCAACCTGCAGTCCCGGTCTCACCTTCTACGCAGTCCGGACACCAGCTCTTCCCTTCGTCATCCTTAGAGCCGCTGAAGTAGGCGAAAATGGTCTTGCCCTTGTGCTCCTTTACAGCCTGGTCGAACTCCTCGAAGCCGGACACGTTCACCTCCTTGAAGGTGGCCATGGGTACAGTTCAGAGAGTTGTGTGGAATGCGATCTTAGGTCCTGCTGCCTCAAGGCGGAGCCCAAGTAGGGCGTGGACAAGTTTCCGGGTGGGATGTACCACTGGAGCTGTGCAGTGCTACGGGAGCCTGGGAAGGCCATAACTCATTAGGACTCATTTTGGTCTAGTGGAGGGTGTATTTTGGCGCCAATTCCCTTCTGACATCTAGATTTATAACCTGGTCTGGTCCCCACCTTGGCCTCCTGGACAGTGACTACAAAACCCGTCGCAGAACAACACCTTTATCCTCAAATTGCTCAGAAAGCTCAACGGTCCCCAAGCGGCCACGCTCCTGTTGCCATGGCGACTGGGCGAGAGGCCGGAAGCTAGGCCTAGCTTGGGGTTGCCTATCCGCCTTCTGGTCGCCGCGCCTTGCCCAGGCCAGGTGGGCTCGGGTGGGAGCTGGGGGAATTCTGGGAAGCTGCTTTGTGGGGGGGGGGGACAAGCGAGAGGGGAGACCTTTCCCCGGGCTTGTCTTGCAGCTCCACCCCTCCAATTACCTTCCCATTCGTCAGGCTTTAGGGGGGCCGGGGCTGGGGGCGGCGTCCGGGACTGGGCGGGAGTACGGAGAGAGCTGGGAGGCTGAAAGGCTGCGAGGGCTGGATCCGAGTGTTGTGAGAGTGTGTACGGGGCACGTTGTCTAGGGGAACAGGTGCAAAGACAGTGTGCCCGAGGTTGTGTTGGGTACAGGAATTGTCCCGGAGCTGCGAGCTCGGCGGTGGGCCTCAGGGCCCTTGCCGGAGCTGTGCAGGTTACACTGGCAGCGAAGATGCCGGCTCGTTGCGCGGTGGCCCGCAGGTCGCGGCGGGGTGTTCGGCCCCCGTGGGCAAGGAGATGGGGTGCAAGGATGTCCCGCGGCTGTGGAGTAAGACGCCGGGCGAAGTCTTCAGTGCGGCGGATGCGCTGTGCAAGCATAGAGAGGCTGCAGGATGATCGGCGGCCTTTGGGGAGGAGGCGAGCTACGGAACCCGCGGTGCCCCTTGGGATGAACAAGGCCTTTGGGGCACCTGGGACTGCAGCAATGGACCTTGGGGCAGTGTGGGTGAACGGGGCTGTGGGCGAGCCCGAGGTGATTGGGCCTGCTGGGTCTGTGTGGGTGACCAGATCTGGAAAGGAGGAGCCAGATGATAGTAGTCCACCAAGCTGTGAGAGAAAAGGTCGACCAGGAACACTTGGCCATGAGAGCATCCTGGAATTGTGGTTGAAGGTGCAGGCTATGAGGGTAGCTTCAGGGTGCTGGGAAGGAAGCAGAGTGGAGCTCCATCCGATTCCTGAGGGAGAGGGGCCAGTAGAAAGGGGTGTTCCTGGGCGAGCTTCCTGGGTAGAGACCAGCCGAGGTGGTGTCACAGGACCCTGGGTGAGAGGACATGCTAGGCCATTCCCCCGGACCTCAGGATTACCCTCATCTAGGGGAATAGGGGCACGTCGTGAGAGCCTCTCCTTCTGTAGACAGAGACAAGCTGGAAAGATGCCTCCTGCTGTGGGTGGACCTGGGGTAGTGGAGAAGATAGGCTGCGCTTCCTCGGGCCCTTGGGAAGAAAGACAAACTGTGGGGTTACCTGTGGCCATTGGTTGGTCTGAGGCAGTGAAAAGGACCCGACCTGGAGAACTGAGGGAACGTGGGGGCAACCTAGGTCCATGTCGGGGAGGGCAGTCTGGGCAGGTTTCTGGGGCTCTGTCAGAAGAAGCTGTGTATGGGTATAAGTTATGGGACAGAGAGCAAATTGTAGGGCCCCCTGATACCTTGATGGTACTAGCCAGGGCTATGGAAGATGAAACTACCTCTCAGGGGGCCCCGGGGTTGTGGCAAAGTGGACAAGAGGTGGAAGATGTAGGCTCTAGGGGTATTCCTGGCCTGGGGGCCATGGGACAGACTTTAGGAGTGCCTTGTGTTGGAGAAGAGGGAGCTAGATGTGGAGGTGACTCAGAGTCATGGGGAGCTGCACAGGCTGTAGAGCTGTCTGCTTCTGAGGAGCTAGAGGCAGGTTCTCATGGTGCCCAGGGCCTGTGGGGTATAGAGCAGGCAATGGCAGCACCCAGGGCTTTGGGAGAGGAGACAGATGAATCAAGTGTTCCAGGACTGTGGGGAACAGGACAGCTCCCGGGCTGGCAGCCTGTGGTGGTATCAGGAGGCAGGGGAGGAGAAGCAGGCTATGATGTTTCAGGCCTATGGGAGAATCAGCAGGCTGTTGGGGCCCCTCTGGCTGAGGCATTATCAGGGGCAGTTATGGAGGAGACACACAGTGGGAATCCAAGCCTGCAGGAAAGAAGGCAGGTGATGAGGCAGCACGAGACCCAGGGGCCTGAAGCTTTAGGGATACCTGGGGCTGTTAATCAGGATGCCAGTTGTGGAGCTCTGTCATGTCCATGTGGGAGGAGACAGGCTGTGGGGGTGTTTGAGACAGTTGTGATGCCAAAACACAGGTATACCACAGAAAGAGCACCATCAGCTCTGGGTGTACCTGCTGCCTTGTGGGTGTATCAGGAAAGCAGCCCTACTGATACCTTGAACCTGCAGGGAAGGACTCATGATGCCTCTGGGAGGCCCATGGTTCCTGAGGAGTGCTCATCTGTGGTAGAGGATACTGAGTCTAGGACTCTCTTGGGTTCTTGGGGAAGGAGACAAGCTGGTGGGGTTCCCATGGTTCCTGAGATACCTGGTTCTCTGGAGGTAGAGGCTGGATCCAGAGGTTTCTCAGGCTTGTCAGGAAGGAGACTAACTGTAGGTATACCTGTGACTGCAGGGGTATCCTCTGCAGGTATGGGCGTGGCTGCCAGGACATCTAGTTCTGTGTGGGAGCATATTAGCTCTAGAAGAGACTCAGACTCAGCAGAAGGTAGGCCACCAATAGGGATATCCATGACTGTGGGGCACCCTGAGGCCACGGGGGATGAGGCACTAGCTGAGGACTTACAAAGAAGACAATCTGCCTCGATACCTGTGGCTGCTAGAATTGCCACAGCTGTGGGAGAGCCCACAGCTTCTGGGCTCTTCGGGCCTCACAGGGCAGGGGATAGTGCCTGTGGAGAATGCTTGGGGATATGGCAAAGAAGACAAATAGCTGATTTGCCAACTACCGCCAGAGTCCCTAAACCTGAGATGGAAGCAGGCTCTGAAGGTGTCTCTGATCTGTGGAGGGGACACAGTGGGACAGTTCCTGAGGTAGTGAGGGGGCCATTGCATCAGGGGATGCTTGCAGCTGTTGGGGTCAGACCTGTTCCTGCTGCAGTGTGGGTGACTGGCTGCCCTGGAGAGGAGGCAAATGGAGGTGTTTCTGATGGGACAGTGATTAGGAGACAGCCCACTGAGGAAGTAAGGGAGTCAGGAGAGGAAACAGAGAGTAGAGGGATCCTGGGACTTTCAGGGAGGGACCAGGTTGTGGGGATGTCTTACCCCCATGAGCTTGGTGCCAGGATGTGGGGCAGTCCAAGATCTGTGGGGAAGGAAGCAGCCTCTGAGAATATTCCCACAGTATCTGCAATGAGGACAGCTGTGCCTTCAGTTTCAAGGGAGGAAATAGACCTGGGCCATTTCAGAGATAATCTGCTGGGGAATGGGGGCAGAGCTGTGGGAGGAGTTCCTGAAGCTAGAGTGAGAGCAAAGGATTTGGGAGAGAGGAGAGAGGGTGGATTGAGGGGCACCTTCCAGTAGCTATGTGGAAAGCAAATTGGAAATTGTCCTGGGATTCTGGGAGGGAAGAGGTTGGGGAATGGGTTGTCTTGGGTATAAGTGAAAGAACAGATTAGTGTAGGGACCTTATGGTTCCTGGAGAGATACTTTGTGGCAGTGTCACACAATGTGCCGGGAAACTAACTGGGAGACATCTGGAAAGATTGGGAATGCATTGCAAGGAGAGGGCTATCCCAGGACTTTGTATAGTGGGATCGTGGGGTGGGTGTCCCTGGACTTGTGTGTGTGTGTGTGTGTGTGTGTGTGTGTGTGTGTGAGATGACTTAAGGTGTACAGCCCCAACTCTGCAGCTCATTCTGTGGCCTCAGCTCTAGCCCTGTGATACTGGCAGGCCAGCTGCCATTGCCTTACTTGTGTGCCTCCTATCTGCCACTTGGATCACGTCTCTGTAATCTTAGAAACAAGGAGTCGTGTACAGCTGTCCTATGTTTCTACAAATGCGTCTGCCTTTAAGAGGATCTAGTCCAAATTCTGGATTTTTTTTTTTTTTTTTAATTTAAGCTGGCTTCTTTCTCCCTTAACTTTGAATTTCCCAGTTGATTTACTACTATCGGATTCTTTGAAAGAACAAATTTTTCACTGTACTTAAAACTTACAGTTTCTCAGAAAATTGTTTAACACAACTGTGTTGAGTTAAAATTGTTTACTGTGTTCAAGTACTGATTGTGGGAAATAAAAGAGTGACAAGGCCTTCAAGTCTCAAGGAGCTTTGTCCAGCTGGAAAGCTGAGACACAGACCTTGAAATAGGTAAATAACTATTATGAGGACATGGTTAATCTTTGAGTGGGTAGGGCCATTCAAGTATGTTAAATATCTTCAGAATAAAAAAATGAGGGTGGGCTTCTTACAGCTTCCTAGATTTTTCAGTAGTTGGGGCTCACTGCCAATGTATACAGGGTGTGGATGATGGTGAGCTAAACACCTAGATTCTTCAGTAGCTGAGGGCTCACTGTGAATGTATATGGGGTGCAGATGGTGGGAGAGCTAAACACCTAGAGATCCTGTTCCGCTGGTCAAACCCCAGCTTTATTTAGAGCCACTCAGAATTTTATCTGAGCTACTTAACAGAGCAATACATTCTGCTCTTTTGACAAGTCATTAGGATGTATGCATGTGGAACATGTCCATAAAACTGTCCAGTCACAATAATAATTTATCATAACAGAACTAATGTCTTGCTGGTTACCTTTGGAATTTGAAATGAAAATGGTCTAAGGGACTGTCATTAAAATGGTAGCTCCCTATTCTTTTGAAAATGAGAATTTCAAAAGTGGTTGCTTTTATAAATATAAGAAATGGACCTCTTCTAAGCAGTTATTCTTACATGAGGTTACTGTGGGTTCACTCTGGAATGCTGCTACATAAGCATGGGATTGTGGGTTGCTTAATCTGGTGTTTGAAGATTGTGGCACTGTTTAACTTTAGATATGTTTGATTTAAGGAAGAGTTGCCTGATGACTCTGTGATCACTGTTCTTTGTCACCTGAGGTGATGGGACCAAGCCAGCCAGCTTCTACCTGTGTTCACCTAGCATCTAGTATCCAACTAGATGGAAGGAACGACCCCAAGAATCTTCACCCCCAGGTTGTTTTACTGTTTTCCTTCTGATATTTATTATAAAACCCTTTGTTTTGTTTGTTTGTTTTTTGAGACAGGGTTTCTCTGTAGCCTTGGAGCCTGTTCTGGAACTTGTTCTGTAGAACAGGTTAGCCTGGAGCTCACGAGATCCTTCTACCTCTGCCTCCCTAGTGCTGGAATTAAAGGCATCATGCACCACCAATGCCCAGCTACAAAACATTTTAAACATAAAGAAAAGTTAAAAAATAAAAAGACCTTGAACATTTTGTACCATTTTCTAGATTTAGCAGTTGTTAATAATTTGCTGATCTCTGTCTGCTCAACCATCTGTCTTTAAGGCTTATGTATAAGCCTACCAAAGGAAGCTACAAACATGATGCTTTTGTTTTAAATATTTCAGAACATTTTAAAAATGAACTCACTTCCCTAATTGTACCATTATCACACTTAAAAAAATACCTTTTAGAAAAATTAAACTAATGTGTGTGTCTGTCTGAATGTATGTGCAAGGGGTACTTTTAGAGGCCAGAAGAGGGTGCTGGACCCCTCCAAGCTATAGTGTGAAACTTACCCACAAATAGCTATTTAACTGCTCAGTCTTCAGTGTATGAAAAGTAAGAGTTTGGTGCTTGGTTAAAGTACTTTTTTGTGTCTAGGTCCAACCACGATGGATAGTTCAAATACTATGTTCAAAAGTTACAGGTTAAACTTTTTTCCACTCTCATTTTTTTAGTGTGATTAATTTTGGTTCACTGTTTGCACTGGTGCACCTTTCAGGGTTTTCTGTTATCTTTATGGAGCTATGTACCCCCCATCCCTTCCTCCCTTGTGTACTTGAAACATTCACATGCATTCACATGGTTCCAATATAAACCTGTGCAAACAGGTATATTCAGGGAAGTATTGTACTTTTTTTCTTTCCATCTTGTTCCTACTCACATTCTATGGATAACTGATCTCATTAACTTCCTTTTTAATTTGTCATTTTCTTTCTGTCCTAAGGCCCAGATGCATGCACATATTCTTATAGTGCCTTCTTTTCTTGATATTACAGCTACTCTTTCTTCTTCTTTTTTTTTCCCCCCTGAGAAATCTCCCACACCAGTTCCTAGAGCTGTTTCTAGAGACGTCCTCATGTCTTACATTTCTAGCACTCTATTCTGCAGCTGTCCTAAAGTTTATTCAATGGCCAACTCTATGTAGACATGTAGGTTGATTTCAGTAATTGGCAGTAACAAACCATATAACAGCAAGTAAGCCTATGTATGGGCATTGTTGGGAGTATATCTGCATGGTGTCTGTTTTAGTTAGGGTTTTCTTGTTGTGAAGAAGTACCATAACCACACCAACTCTTACAAAGGAAAACATTCAATTGGGGTGGCTTGCTTACAGTTTCAGAGGTCTAGTCCATTATTCTCTTGTAGGAGCATGGCAACATGCAGGCCGATGGTAGCTGAGGGTTCTACATCTCGCTGGCAACAGGAAGTCAACTAAAACACTGGGTGGTATCCTGAGCATAGGAAACCTCAGAGCCTACCTTCACAGTGACACACTTTCTCCAACAAGGCCTTACACTCCAGCAAAGCCACACCCCCTACTAGTGTCCCTCCCTCTGCGATTAAGGGGGACGTTTACATTTAAACTACCATAGTATGCTAGAAGTGATAGTAGACTGCTGGGTCAAAAGTAGATGGATATTGCCAAGTTACCCCCAGAAAGGAGTGAGCCTATGCCCACTACACACTCTCTCTTGCTTTCTCTCTCCTGCCTGCCCTCCCTCTCCCTGCTCTTTCTCTCTTTCATCTTTCTTTCCCATGTCTATGTTTTTAAAAATGTGTATGTGTGTGTGCCTGTGTGAATTTATGTGCATTACTCTATGATAGTATGTTTCACCAGAGCCTTACCAAAAGCAGGTAGTGTTTTATTCTTACTTTGTGGAATTTTATAAGGCTGACCATGTTTAAAGAGTTTTTTTAAATTATGTGTATGTATGTGCACAGGAGTGTAGGTGCCTGTCAAAGTCTGAAGCTTAGAGTCCCCAGGAACTGGTGTTCTAGGTGCTTGTGAGCCTCTTGACATGGGTGCTGGGAATCAAACTTGGGTTTTCTTCAAGAACAGTGCATGCTCTTAACTGCTGAATCATCTCTCTGGCCCCAGGTTGAACACCCCACCCCTGACAGTCATACACACACACACACACACACACACACACACACACACACACACACACACGAGAGTCTTCCTCTTTTCTTTTACTGCCTTTCCCATTTCTTATGGCTTCTTACTGTCTTTTCTTTTTTTGATTTTCTTTTTTTGATGTGTATATGTGTGCCTGTGTGAGTTTATGTGCACTGTGCACATATAGGTATCAGAGGAAACCAGAAGAGGGTGTTGGATCATCTCAAACAGTAGTTATAGGCAGTTAAGAGCTGCTTCATGTAGATGTTGGGAACTGAATCTAGGTCCTCTGCAAGAACACCATGCACACTTCACTGCTGAGCCATCTCTCCAGCTCACTGTGGTTTCTTTTTTAACATCAGTTAAGGAGCTCTTTGTACTTGCAAATAATATTTCCTTCTAGTTCTTTGATTTTTGTTTATTGGGGCTTTTTATTTGTGTGTCTGTGTATTATTGATTGTTAATCAGGGAGAAATTTTAAAAGAAAATTTATTTATTTTGTTTGTTTGTTTGTTTTGAGACAGGGTTTCACTGTGTAGCCCTGGCTGTCCTGGAACTCACTATGTGGACCAGGCTGGCCTTGAACTCAGAGATCCACCTCCACCTGCCTCTGCTGGGATTAAAGATGTACACCATCACTGCCCAGTTAAGAAAATTTTTTTTTTATTATTTGTTGTTATGTATGTTCTGCTCTATCAGTATGTATGCCTGCAGGCTAGAGGAGGGCACCAGATCTCACTACAGATAGTTGTGAGCCACCATATGGGTGCTGGGAATCTGGGAATCGAACCTGGGTTCTCTGGAAGAATAACCAGTACTCTTAACCGCTGAGCCATCTCTTCAGTACTAACTTTTTTTTTTTTTTTTTTAGTCTGTGTACCTTTCTGGTTTTCTTTTGTTTGTTGTTGTTGTTATATTTACTTAGTGGATTGTTCCTACTCCTCCTTTATCACCCACCTCCCCCAAAAGAGTTCCTGAAGTTTTATTATATACATGTGATTGAGCTCATTTATTTTGAGTGTTGGAGAGATCGCTCAATGAAGGTATCATGAGATTGGGTCTACTGAATTCAACAACATGGATTCCCTTACTTGCCTTTCATAGGTAGGCACTATTTTGTTTTATAGTCATAAAATTACTTATTTCTCTTGACCTGGTAATCCTAGTGTACCTTACTTAACCTAAGAAAATAATGTAAAAGCAGAAAAACTAAACAAAATAAAACCCTAAAGATAACCCTATACTAATAATGTACTTGTTAGTGGAAAAACTAGAACAATCTGTTTAATACAGTTGTGGCTTAGCCTGCAAGGCTGGGTTTTGAAGATTAGAAAATGCAGCTGTGAAAGCAGTCTTAAAAACCATCAGGAATGTGGGAGCATGTTTATGTTTAAATGTAGAGTATCATAAGGTTTATCTATATGATGAATTTGGTAAAAACCTAAATCTTTGTCAGCCTGGCTAACTGGACTTTTAGCGAAAGGTGTGTTCAATGAGCAGATGACAGATGAAAATCTTGGGAGGACCTAGGGCTTAGGTTTGCTGTGTGGTGTGTGCCTGTGGGACTGTTTCTAGGAAAGCTCTACATCCTGAAACAGGATAGATCTGTAGATGGGAGCTGAAGAACTTGCTGGTTGGTGCATGAAGCACTGTAGGGCAGCCTTTGCAGGAGGCCTGGTACGCTGCTAGTAGTTGGAAGACTGTTCGCAGAACTATGTGACTTTAGTACAGAACCTTGTATGTGGTGTATGCAGGTGGCTGGTTCCATGGGCACACCAGAAAAATGTCTTTATATGTAGATAATCTTCTGGGTAAAACAGTAGGAACTGGTGTGTGTGTGTGTGTGTGTGTGTGTGTATACAATATGTCATCTTTCTAATGAAAGCTTACTTTTGTTTATTTCTTAAAGAACCAGCTGCAATTTAATAAGAATGTTCCTACACATCCCAGCAACTTGGCAGTTCGATACTCTTGTCCACATGCAATTAAAATTGAAAAACTGAAACACTCATATAATGAATTGTATCCTTGTAAAGACTTGGATTTTAGAACCGGAAATGATTTAAGCAGTTCTGTCTCATTTTCTGTCATATCAGAAGAGAGGCTTAGCTATGCTGTCCACTTAGCCAAAAGAGATGTAAAACGAAGACAGTTTGAAGAACACATGAAAGATCATCTCAGAAGTCAGCCCCAGAGCTCTCACAAATGTGTACACACCAAGGTGGAAAAGAAGGACTCAAAGAGTCAGGATGTCTGTCATTACAGCCACCAACCATCCAAAGTAGGCATTTCCAGCTCGGGTGCTAAGGTTTATATATACACATCTCATCCAGGACGATCAGATCTTACTGTACCAAATTCACCACCTACCCATGATCCAGGACTTCAGCCACAACCCAGGATAGAGGAGCACAAAAACCTATGGGAACAGAAAAGCCTTCTAGAAGTTCAGCGACTCCGAAAGGAATTGAGCAGTTGTATCCATAAAATAGAAGCAGTAACTAAAAAAGGTGAGAAAACCCAGTTCTTCATTTGATGAGATGCCATGGTGTGGGATAATTCAAATACATTCATTTTTGGGAGCCTTCCTCCCCAACACAAACACTACCAAGTTCTGCTGCCTCCTGTGAGCTGGTTGGTTCAGTAGAGCTGAACAGCCACTATAAAAGAGTTGGGCTTAGACACTGACCTGGGTTCTGCCCACTCTTACTGCCTGACTTTGCATCTCCTAATACCTGTGTACAAAGTATCCTATGATATTTGCCTTATGAATACAGAATTGCTTCAGGCAAAATTATGTTAAATTTTCTTTAAAAGACCATAATATATGTGTATTGTAGATAAACCCACTTCATATCTGACCACAGGGTCAAAGGGAAGAAGTAAAATCATTATATATATATATATATATATATATATATATATATATATATATGTGTGTGTGTGTGTGTGTGTGTATGTATATATATATTTATATATATACACACACACACACACTATTTTTACAATAATTAGTAATCTCAGGGTCCTTGCATTTCTTTGGGAAGTAGTAGATTCAGGTAGAGAGTAAGGTTACTATAGACAACAAGTAAGCCAGCTCTTAGACAATGGGGCATGAGGAGTTGTGTAGCAAAAGGAGCTATTGGGCTGTGATAATACATTTTCTAAAATTACATTTTACAATTAAAGTTTAATTAAAATATGAACATATAAATATATGGATGTTGGAGAAAAAAATGTAATGCCTTATAAAGTTGTTGGTTGACACAAGATAAAACTACCCAGTGAGGTGTGTCTGGATAGGAAACAAGAGGACTGAAAAAAGAAATGTACTAAGGATGGGTACAAATTCATCTCCTCCTAGGAACCAGCTACAAAGAAACTGCCACTTGCTGGCAAACCAGCTGCATTTAAACAGAAAAATGCAGCTGCCTGAGAAAACCAGCTCTCACACACACAGCCAGTCTTCCTAGTGAACATGTTGTATAATGATTGGACATCATGGGTGGTCCAGAACAGTGCTACAGGACATGCCAGAAGTATTGTGGTTAATTTGTCATGATATCCATTAGTGTCAGTCTGAAGCAGCATGACCCTACCAGATACTTTAAGTAGAAGCCAGGCTACCTGGTAACAAAGCTCCCAGGTCTCCTGCTCTGGTGATCTGGCTAAGACTAGGACCTTTATAACTGAGCTTTGGAAGCTCTGTAGGTAAGGGCTGGCCTGGTTTACTTCCTTTGTGTAAATATTTTAGTGGACCACCAATACTTGGTAACTATAATAACAATGTCTTCACTGGGGCAAATGACTAAAAAAGACACGTGAATACATAGTTTCAGTTTCTGCATCCAGTAGCTGTGCTTCCCAAGCCCAGCTGGTTGTACTGGACTCACCTTCAAGGTGGAGAGTTAAAAACTCCTGCCTAAGCCCATTGCTGTTTCTGTTCTTATAGGTATGTGTATGTGCATTTTCTCCCCACTGTGTGACTGACCCAAATAGAGGTGTCAACAATTTAGCCTGGAGGCTCCCCTATGACTCTTACCTGTGTGTGCAACTTCTGGCTTCAAAGTTTTGTCCTTCTTAGCAGCCTAATTGCCTTAATTGACTCTTTTTTTAAATCTGGTGCTAAAACTTAAACCCACGCACACTCTGCAAGTGCTATGCTGCCAAGCTGCCCTCCAGCCCCACTCCCTCATATGTAACAACATGTTAATGAGACAACTACATTCAGAATGTACTTACATTTGCAAAGTATTGCTGCTATCAAATTGTCTGTTAAAGAGCTTTGTAGAATAATTGGTGTAAATATATTTGGAAACAGTGGCCTAGAAGAAGTGCATGGAGATTGGATTTCCCCTGGGCAGTCTTCTGGAAATGGTCTGAGCTGATCTTTAAAGAATATGGGGAGCCAGTGTATACAAGAATGTGCTTCTTGACATGTAGATGGAGCTTAGATTTAAAACCATTCAGATGATTTTAGCACTTCTATCTTAATGTCTTAGAGAAAGAATTTTGCATTTGAATTCAGGATAAGAAAGTAAAAATGATCTCACTTAGTATGAAAATAGTCCAGTAAAGATTTTTTTTTGTTATTGTTTTTGGAAAGTAGAGGAAGCTTTGTGGATTTTGGCTCAGTGTAAAGGAATTTTGAGACAGTAAGAAATGCTTCACAGTGAAGTCCAGTGGGATTTGTTTCAGTGAATTCTGGTGTGCTGGCCAGCTTGCCAGCATCTTCCTGTCCCATCTGTCTTGTCCCTTCTGTCAGTATTCAGGCTCTCACTCAGTCTTATCCGTGACTGTTGAAGGTTTTCTTATTAAGACCTGAGAGCTTCAGCTATCACTTCGTTAAGGTCTTAAAGTTTCCTTGAGCTTCTTTGTGTGTTTTGTTTTGTTTTTTAATCTAATTTGGGAAAAATACTTTCAGGTAGACTAGAAGAAGCTTTGGATCCAGATGAAGAGCATCGAATCCAAGTGAGGAGACAAGAGCAAGCTGTGCGTTCTGCTCGTATGCTCTACGTTCTTCAGCAGCAGGTGTGGAAAAGCCAGGGGAGGTGCAGTGGTGGCCTGCATGTGGCTTTCTTAGGGACTTGCAATTTTCCTTGTCACAGATAGAGGAGCGCAAAGGGCCCTGCATAAATTCTAATGAATTTTCAGGGTTAATTCCCTGAACTTATATGGACAATTAACGTGTGTGTGTGTGTGTGTGTGTGTGTGTGTGTGTGTGTGTGAGAGAGAGAGAGAGAGAGAGAGAGAGAGAGAGAGAGAGGAGAGGGGGGTGTGGGGGAGAGATGTACATATGATTAGTCTCCTTAAACAGTTGTTTTTGACTTTGGGGGCATAGACTAAAAGCTTGTACATATGAGCCTGAGTTGTAAAGGGACTTTCCCATCAGTCTTAGAGACTAACATGGTTATTCTTTATTTAATGAAAGAATGAAGACTGTTGCCTTTCAGGAAATATTTAATAGTTGGTAAACAGGCATTTGCATTGTTTTTTTTTTAACAGGCAGGGTTTCTCTGTGTAGCTCTGGCTATCCTGGAACTTGCTCTGTAGACCAGGGTGGCCTTGAACTCATAGAGATCTGCCTGCATCTCCTCCTGAGTGCTGAAATTAAAGGCATGTGCTACTACCACCTGGTAGCTCTTTATTTATTAATAAACCTTTAAATTTTTTCTGGTTATTGAAGTTACATGTTTAGTTTTATAGCTTGAACCAAAAGCTATACCTTTTATTTGTTTAAAGGCAAATGCCATAGTTAAATTTTCTTTTCTTATTATTTTTTATTAATTTTTTTCATTCCATTTTGTTTTTATTAATTTATTTTTTTATTCCAAAACTTTCTTGTGTAATCTTTTTGGATCCTATGTTGGTTCTTATTCTACACCATTGCCACAGAGATTGTTCTAGGCAACTGCTATACCATAGGCTCTCTCTCTCTCTCTCTCTCTCTCTCTATATATATATATATATATATATATATATATATATTCCTAGCTGAGGTTGTTCTGAAACATGAATCTAGCATGTCAGAGTTTTACTTAAAGACTTCAGTGGTGCTTGGTAATTCCCCCTACGTCCCCACTTTCAGTGTATGTGTATATATATGCTGTGTGTGAAAGAGTTTTACTGTGTAACACTGGCTGGCCTAGAACTCAGATAACCACCTGTTTCTGCCTCCTTAGTGCTGAGATCAAAGATATGGTCCCTACACCCAGCAGAAAGCAAAACTCTGTAGTGTGGCACTTAAGACTTAGTGAGTTGGCCTTCTGTTGTTCATGTTCAGTTCTTCTTACACTAGGGACCTGAGGATAGCTCTATTACCCATTTTGACCTGGAAACCAGTCAGTGTTTTGGGAGTGTGGGCAATAGTTAATAAAGGTTATATTTGAATTAATAAGGGTTATATTTGAGTTAATTAAGGGTTATATTTGAACAAAACAGGGTCTGTTTTTCCTATAAGAAAGATCAATGAACAGGTATAAAAATTTCATTTTCCACCTTTTCATAAAACAGGTAAAAGAAATCCAGGAAGAATTGGATAAATTGAGTCCACATAAAATTAAACATACTAAGAAGGTATGTTATAATTGAGTATTAATAGAATGCATTTTACAGTGTTTTGTCAGAGTGTATGTAAACCTGTTGGAGACTAAACTACGTGTTGTGAATGTGGAGTTCCTTCCAAGGAAAAGGATCTGAAACAGGTCACTGTATGTTCACTCCTGGTATAGAGACAGGTCACTGTATGGTAATTCTTGGCATATAGACTGAAATGAAAGTATCAGTACAGAACACCCAAGATCAAGTTCTTAGCACAAAGGAAATGTATTTGCCCCAGAGGGACAAAGGTCAGGGAATAAGAGACAAAGACAGGAGCTAGAGGACAAGGGAGAAGGGGCAGGGGTGTTTGTCCCAGAAGACAAAGGACTGCCTCTGGATAGAGAGGAGACGGACGTGGCCCACAGGCAAATGGAAGTTTATAAAAGTAAAATGGGAAACCTGTGTTAGGATGAGGTGTTTAATTTTAATTGGGCATGTTAATTAGGTGGGCCAAAGGGGGCTTTTGATTGCCAGACTAAAGTACTTTGAAAGCTGGCCCTTGGTAGTCAGCCTCAGGAGGAAGAAGTGGCCAAATAATGGAATAGACCTTGGTGGTTAGCTTTAGGAATGTGATCTAACAGTTTTTAGCAAGGCAGAGAGAATGGGGGGAGAAGGACAAGGCCTGCCAGAGCCATGTTCACCATGCTGGAGCTGGCCAGAGGCCTTCACAGACAGCAGGAAAGAAAATAACCTGTTTCTAGAGAATGTGAGGCTTTTTAATTTTCTTCATGTTGGGAAAGGTTTTACAACAGGGAACACTTTGTATAGCAGATAGACTCCAGATGTTCTTTTTTGAAAAAACAATTTATATCCTGACCATAGTTTCCCCTCCCTCTTCTCTTCCTAGCCCCCCACCCCCACCCCAGTCGCCTTTGCCCCCTCCCTACTCCTCCTCCATTTCTATTCAGAAAAGGGCAGACTATGGATATCAACAAACCATGATATATCAAGTTTTCAGTAAGACTAAGAACCTCCTCTTGTATTAAGGCTGAATAAGGCTACTCAGTAGGAGGAGTAGGGTTCCCAAAGCCAACGAAAGACTCAAAGACAGCCTTGTTCCCACTATTATGAGTCCTATGAGAAGACCGAGCTACACAACTGTAACAGAGGGCCTAGGTTAGTCCCATGCAGGATCCCTGGTTGTGGGTTCAGTCTCTGTGAGCTCCTCTGAGCCCAGGGTAGTTGATTCTATGGATTTCCTTGTGGTTCCCTTAACCCCTCTGGTTCCTGCAATACTCCTTCCCTCTCTTCAGCAAGATTCTCTGAGCTCAGCCTAATGTTTGGCTGTGGGTCTGTGCGTCTATTTCCATCAGTTGCTGGATGAAGCCTCTCTGATGGCAATTGGGCTAGGCACCCATCTATGATATCATCACATTGACTTTTTTTTTCTCCAGTTGTGTTTAGTTCTGTCCTAGGTCTCTAGGCCATCCAGCTTCTGGGTCTGATGCTCCTGGTAATGTCAGGGGTAAACTCACTCTTGTGACATGGGTCTGAGGCTGGACCAGTTATTGGTTGGCCACTCCCACAATCTCTGTACCACCCCTTAACACAGTATATCGCATTGGCAGGAGAGACAGTAGGTTGAAGGTTATGTGGCTGGGTTGGTGTCCCAATCTCTCCATTGGAAATCTTGCCTGGTCACAGGAGATGGAAGTTCAGGCTACTATCCCTCATTGCTAGGACTTCAGATAGTCTTAAAGGTTGCTGTGGTGTTAGAAATTAGAACCTGAAGTAACCCCTTGCTTCTTCTTTGTTGCCAGTCATGGGCAATGTCTAGGCTGGCAGCTGCTCATCGAGGAGCCATCCGGGCCTTACAGATGTTTGTCACTCAGTTTACTGATGGAGGGGAGCACCCAGTTCCTGCTCGGTGTAAGGAACTGGGCAGCCTTATTCGTCAGCTTTCACTGTGTTCTGCCAAGCTGGATACTGATCCTTCTGTGCCAGATGTGGTCATAGACATCTTGCAGCAAATTGAGGTATGAAATAGACTTGTTTTTGTTAAAAGGGTGTTGTTTCAAGGAAGGGAAATAATGCTGACTCTAGTTCTAGTCAGTGAGCTACAAGACAAAGCTGCTGCCTGGTAACTTGAGGCTTTTCAGAGGATATAAGTTTGATTTTTATTTTTTTTTATACTCTGGTCTTTATTATATTTCTCTTCTTTGAGAGAAGAAGAAATGATATACCAAATAATACATACTGTGGCACACAAGCCCACATATCATCTAAACACAGAGTTAATAAAAAAAAAATGAAAAGAAAGGGAAAGGAAAATGGCAAGGAATTTTCAGAGTAGCACTTACTATCAGTATTTGATCTAGATAGGTTTTAGAAAAGAAACACTTAGGATACATGCAGTAAGAACCTCAGATCTCAGGATGACTGGAAACATCTGGCATTCCACAGGTGGTATGTGGTAATCAGGAATGGACAGTGTTCTTATTGGCAACAAAGACAGCATTAGCAATGAGTTCTGGCTTTATAGTTTCATATGTTTGTAGAGTCCTGCCACACAATGTAGTCTTTGATTCTTGCTGCAGTACTCTGACTTGCAAATGCATTTGTTACTACTAATTTATATTGTTGCTGTTTTTTTTTTTTTTTAAGGATTTATTTATTTTCTGTATATGAGTGCTCTATCTGCATGTACAACTTTATGTCAGAAGAGGGCATTAGATGCCACTATAGATGGTGGTGAGCCACCATGTGGTTGCTGAGAGTAGAACTCAGGACCACTAGAAGAGCATCCAGGGCTCCTAACTGCTTAACCATCTCTTCAGCCCCTATTGCTGCTGTTTTTAAAGCAAAGGTCAGAGTGTTCTCTTGAAGGCTGGAACTAATAATAAGCCACCCATGCCAGTGTTACTTCTGTAGTGTATTATTATTCAAAAATAGGAAAAGATAACCCTGTATTAAGCTGTTGGTCCTCGTGGAAGAGTGGCACAGTAGGGAGAATTCTGTCTAGCACTAACTGGCTTTAGTGGTCATTAAATGATGCTTTGCTATTACAGTCCTGTTGTTTAGCAAATGTCTGTAATTAACTTTGCTATATCTGTGTAGACATAGCTCACTATCAGGAGTGTGAATGTCAAGGGTAAATCTCAGAACTTTTGACAGCGTATCACATCATGTCATTCATCCTCTTTCAACTTACCTATATGAAACATTACTGAACAAAATAATTTTGTTTAGAGGACCTATCTTACAAACCCTAGAAAGGATCTCCAGAGGTTACCCCATATCCTGAGCAAGAGCACCTTGAACAGTGTGTTTTAAGCATATGTAGATCTCCCCTAGTTTTAAAAGTACTCAGTAATGTAGGAAATTGAATTCTTGTTGATTCCTTGACCGACTTACTATCTTGTTTCCATATGATCCTGCAAATTCAGCCTCCCTGACTATGTTTGGTTGTTTTTAATTTGTACTGATCAGTACTGCCTGGTGATGAGTGGGTGGGTGTGCCTTAGAGGATGGGGACACACATCTCCTGCCTTTACTGACATAGACAAATAGCCACTGGACCCACTGTTAGCTGTGGACATGTATGTTTAGTATAATGTATTTACCCACATAAAACACTGCTTGAGTTTATGGGGTTTTGTTGGAAATGAATACCCTGTTAAATCGCATATAGCTATGTTCTGAAGACTGGTTAGTTTCCCAAGTGATGATTCATGATTTTAAGGTTAGGGTGTCTCTTAAAAATGGTCACACTCAGAACATTTTTACTGTTGCTTTTAATGAGCTAAGTGAGTAAAATAGTTTTATAGAAATTATTTTTATAAATTAATCACATATTGTAAATAATACTTATTTTAAATTAAGTGCCACACTTTGTTAACCACTAGAGATTACCATTTAATGACATGTCTCTTTGGAAGGTGTTATTTTTCAGTGTTGTGACTAAAGTCATACTCTAGTGAGTTAAACTAAGAAAATAATGACTGTTTTCATGACAGGCTTTGGAATCTCTCCTGGAAAAGAAACTGACACCTAAAAAGGTAAAGAAATGTATCACAGAAATTCGGAGCAAATTTCCTATTGGAAGCCAAAGAATCTTACAGAAATGGCCAACTGTACTGCCCAAGAATGAGAGGAGACCCTTGGTCACAAAGGAGACATTTCCACAGGAAGCCAGTCGACCTTCTGTGGCAAAGAGGCTTCTTGCTGGTATGTGTCTCAAAATGTTAGTGTGTGATATTTGACTCTGTCAAAGTGGCTGCAACAGTTAGTAGGGAGGGTGGGGTGAGGTTAGAACCGTGGCCCTGTCTGTGAGAGCTGTCTTGCAGCTGGGATCAGAAATAATAGCCAGCATGTGTCCTAGGACTGGAGACTGGACTATGCTTCTCAAGCCCTGCCTGCCTATATTCTACCCTTCCTTAACTAGCAGGGATGGAATAAAGAAAATTTGCCCTGGAGGCAAAGTAGGAGGCTTGGCTCCGCACTCACTCTCCTTGTGACCTTGAGCAAATGCTTCATTTATTTCCTCGCCTGAAGAGTTAGGAAACCTGTTCTGCCTGCTCTGGGAGGTAGCATGGTGAGACTCAGATGGATGTGAATTCTGTTAAAAGCATAAAAGTATTGTACCAAACACAAGGCATGCTTAGAGCCACACTACACTATCACCTTTATTGTGCTGTGAAACTTGGCTAGGGCTTTCAAGTTTCAGGCATTTGCTCCTGGAGAGCAATGTGGTAATCTTTAGTATTATTTTTCTTGTTCTTATGATATTTCAGAAGGTCATGTTTCTCTTTCTGTTTTAGATATGACTCTCCTAGTTCTTCATTCTAATTTCCTGGAGTTCCTCCTCCCTACCCAATACCTCCCAGATGTCACAGGGAGCCCCAAGGGAGGGAAACTGTGTCATTTGGGATTTATGATTGAGCCTGATTGGATCAACTGCCTTGTGATTTAAGTAATTGTAGGCCAGCACGGTGCTTAGAGGCTTCTGATTACTGATTGCATTAGTGTACTGTGTGAGGCCGTAAGGAGCTGGGAGGCTGGTGGCTGCCACTCTGCTGGCAGCAGTGTCTTCAGACTCGGCTCCCTGAGAGTTTGCACTGCACTTGCCGTCTGATTGATGCCATTCATAACTGAAAAGGTGTCAGGACCTAGCAGCCAGCGTTGCTTCAATAGATGTAATCTTGGGAGTTACCACACTTGCAGAGTCTGTCCTGTCACTCTTCTGTTCTGGTTTGTATTCTTGGCTGTGTAACTAACAGAGCTATTGGAATATCTGAGGAAAGCAGTGGTTGGGGGAATCCAGTTCCTGACTTACTGCTGCTAAGGAAGAATCTGAATAAGCTTTCATTTTACTCTTAAATATTCTAAATAGAAAGAAATGAAAGTAATAAATACCTGTATCTACTATGCAATTTTAAACATTTTAGTCTCCAATTTTTTCCAAAATTTGTGAGAAGTACCGTAAGTCCCTTGAACAGTTACCCCCGTTCCTTTTTCTACCCTCCCCTTCTGTTATGAGCCTGCTCTGTTTATATGTCTGAGCTTCTCTTTATTATGAGCATAATTGCTTTACACATGTGATCACATGCAGTATATATCAGCCTTTAGTGTGCCTGCCTCTTACTTGAACAGTAGACTTGTTCATGTGAATAGGTGAAATCTATTTTTTCCCAGTGTTATGGTTTAAACCCAAGGCCTAACATTTTAGGAAAGCTGCATCCCCAGCTCAGAGGATTCAAACTTTCTCAATTTTTGTGTGGGTCTCTCTTATATGAATAAACCATAGATCATTTTCATCTCTTCATCCTTATTAATGAGCAGTTGGGTTATTCCCAGTTTCTGTCATAGATCTGTTTGTATGTGTGATACAACATCTCACTACACATTAACCAGGATGGCTCAGAGCTCCTGGGATCAAGTGATCCTCTCTTCCACCTCCTGAGTAGCTGCGAGTATAGGCAGATGTGGCCATTCCACTATTAGTTATTTCTGCTTTTATAAGCAGTGGCAGGGTGAAGTAGAAGCCTGTGCCTCTTCTCTTTGTGTTTACATGTGCCGGTTCTGGGCTGCCCGTACCTGTGCTACAGCTGTGCTGCACTGTGTTTACCTGTGATGCAGCTGTTGCACTGTGTTTACCGTGATGCAGCTGCTGCACCACACATCTTCAGCCTTTCTAGGGCATCGATCCATCGATCGATCGATCGAGCCACCCTGCAGAGGAGTTAGCCAGTTCACTCCGGTGCCAGTGGTTTCTGGGTTTCCTCACTCCTCATTTATGTTTGCTATCATAATTCACACTTTCCCATTTTAATGGCTATGAAGGTAGCTTATGGCTTGATTTTCCTGATTACTGAATGAAGTTTGTCATCTTCTCATGCTTTTATTGACCATTTGTTTTTCTGCATAAATTGTAGTTTCGATACTTTTTGACATTTCTCTGTTGAGCTGTTTATTTCCTTTATTCATTTGTAAAAGTTCTTTATACCATGGGAGTATTGATCCCATGTTAATTACATGTATTTCTGGGATCTCTTTCCAGATTTGACTGATTTGTTATGGTGACTTTTGATCAAAAGCTATAGTTCAGTGTAAATAAACCCTAATAAATTGATATCATATTTGTTTGAGTTTAAGGAAGTCTTTTCTGTCCTGATGATATTCTCCTATTATTTTCTTCTTAAAGCTCTGAGATTTTCCTCCTTTAGGACAGTGGTTCTTAACCTCTCTAATGCTGCAGCCCATTAATATACAGTTCTTCATGTTGTGCTGACCCCCAACATAAAATTATTTTGTTGCTACTTCATAACTATAATTCTGCCACTGTTATGGATCATAATATACAACCCCCAAAGGGGTCATGACCCACAGGTTGAGAACCACCACTGTTTTAGGACTTCATGCTTGTGTGAGCTATGCGTTTTTCATTGTGGGGCATGGATTCCAATCTGATAATTGGTATATGGTCAGTAGCAATCTTCAGGTCATATCTACTGATCTGTGACTCCCATCCTGTGCCATCTGTTCCTGTGTGCCCTCCACACAGCCTTCACCACTGCAGCTTTTGCCTAGATTCCCATCTCTGGTCAAGAAAGACACCCCCCCCCCCCCCGTCCCTCTCCACTTCACTCCCCATTTTGTTGGGCTAATTCTTAGGCTTCTATACTTCACATGAATTTTTAAAAATTAGATTTATTATTTTATGTGTGAGTGTTTTGCCTACATGTATGTATGTGTACCATGTGTGTACCTGTTGTCAGAAGAGGTCAGAAGAGAGCATTGGATTCCCTGGAACTGGAGTTACAGATTGTTATGAATCATTTTGTGGGTGTTGGGACCGAACTTGGGTTTTTCTAAAAGAACAAGTGCTCTTAAATGCTAAGCCAACCCTCCAGCCTCTTCATATGAATTTTAGGATCAGTATGTTTCGGTTTTGTCTGTCTGTTTGTTTTGTTTTTTGGTAGTCTTACTATTGTAGCCTTGGCTGACATGGGACTTGCTTTGTTGTCCAGACTCACCTCAAACTCACAGAGGTCTGCCTGCCTTTGCCTTCTGAGTGCTGGAAATAAAGGTATGCACCATCACACCCAGCTGGACCAATCTGTTTAGATACATGCACACACACACATACATACACACACACACACACACACACACACACACACACACACACACACACATTTTAATTTGATATAGATTTGAGATTATAGATCACTTGGTGGAGAATTGACATCTTAACAATGTTCTGTTTGTTTGTAAATGAAAACTTGATTCTGATTTTTATTTGTTTCATTTCAATGGCCAGGCCAGGTACATATTCCCAGCACTGCAAAAATAAAATTAAAGCTTTGAAATGTTTTCTGTGAAATTCCTGAGTTTTTCATTAGATTTCCTCCTCATTTTTTGGGAGGTTTTGTGTTTGTATGTTTGTGTTCGATGTTGTTTGTTGTTCCAGGGCTGGAAAACCCAGAACCTCTCTCATGCTGACATTCTACCACTGAACTGTTACCCAGCCCTACCTACAGTTTGTTACCCATGTTAATGGGATGTTTTTCCCATTACATTTCATGAGTAGTTATTTTGTGACTTTTGTATGTTGCTTTTACATGTAGAAACTTGACTGAACAGTCTTATTAGAGTTTATCTGTATTCCGATTTTCCTGAATTATCTATGTAGGCCTTTATCTCATTTTTAAAAAGGGGTTTATTTCCTTTTTTATTGCCAGTTGGATGCCACATGTACAGAATACGGTTCATACTATATTCTATATAAATTAGGGATTCAAAGATGTTGAGTAGAGAAAAAATTCTTAAGTGTTCATTTTTAACAGTGTTTAATCTGAGGATAGAGAGATGGCTTAGTGGTTAAGAGCACTCACTAGTCACTCTTCAGAGGATATGGGTTTGGTTTCTGCACCCATGTGATAGCTCATAGCTATGTATAGCTCCAGTTCCAGGAGATCTGAGGGTACCAGGCATACATATGGTGCACAGATATATATGCAAGCAATACACTCCTTCACATAAATAAATCCACAGTGTTTTGTGTGCGTGTATGTTTCTGTACCCTTGCATGCAGTGCTCTTGGTGGACAATTGTGAGCCACTGTGTGGGTGCTAAAAACTGAACCCAAGTCCTGTGCAAGAACACTAAGTGTTTTAGACACTGAGCCATCCCTGGATCCAGCATTTACATTTTAGAAATACAATGTCTTGGTTAAGGTTACTAGTGCTGTGATGAAATACCAAGACCATAAGCAAACTGGGGAGGAAAGGGTTTATTTTGCTCACATTTCCATATAGCAGTTCATCATCAAAATCTGTGAGGGCAGGAACTCAAGCAGGGCAGGAAGCTGGAGGTAGGAGCTGATGCAGAGGCCAGGGAGGGGGTGCTGCTTACTGGATTGTTCATCATGGCTTTCTCAGCCCACTTTCTTATAGAACCCAGGACCACCAGCCTAGGAATGGCACCACCCACAATGGGCTGCACTTTCCCCATCAATCACTAATTAAGAAAATACCCTACAGCTGGGTCTTTTTCAATTGAGGCTCCCACCTTTCAAATGACTTTAGTTAGTGTCAAGTTAACATAAATCTAGTTAGCACAGACAATTTGGCAACCCAGTGGAAATGTGACTATGATCAGTGGGGGCCAGTTTGGGGAGTGTCTTATAATCTAGAGACACTTGAGAGGCCAACCTGGGTAGGAGCAAGACATACTGCAGAATTAGGAAGACAAGAACTGGGAAATCAGTAAATGTGGGTTCTGACATTGAGGGGGTTCTGGCCATGGTGCTTAGCCATTAGTAATTACAGCTATGGTGGTACTGGTATGGGGTCAGGGGGTGTGGCAGCAGAGCCCCATGCTTGTCAAAGAGCCAGGCTGGAGATTAGTGCCTATGTGCTATTCAGTCATTCAACCTGTGTGGTTAAGTAGACTTTCTCCTCTGAAATCTCTGTGTAGATGACTGTCAGCCGGATGTGGAGCTTCCAGTGACTCAAAGGCTGGAGAGTGAACTTGGTGTGGTAGATGAGGATACTCTTCCAGGAGAAGCTCCTTCTATGTTGGGCCATGGTCCAGGCACCAAGGATGAAGTACTAACCCCAACAAAAACAGGAGCAGTAAGAAAGAAGACTGCAACGGAGCATGTGCCATTTAGGAAGAAAGATACTCTGGAGTCAGCTAGACTACAGCAGGTACGGTCTTTCCTTTCTTGTGATCCATTGATATTGTCCAAGGCCATACAAGCTGCTTAAGGGTAGAACCAGCATTTGTTTGGGGGCCGATGAATGCCACAGCCCTGAGTCCAGCAATCTAAGTTGACTTACTTAATTTTAGATGTGCTTTTTATTTTAACAAAAGCCAATTTGTAATCCTAGTATAGGATATAACATTCTACCCTTCCCTGCTTCAGTAAGATCCTAACTAATTCAGTACCATGGTCATAATTAGGAAGGTTTTTCTTAAAATTCAGTATTTGGAAGTGTGGAGTTGAGAGAATTTAAGATTTTGTTCTGAGTTTCTAGTGGGGGGTGCTGTTCCTGGGGCTGAAGATAGCTCAGTGGTTTTAAGAATACTTGCTGCCCTTCCAGAAGACCTAGATTAAGCTCCCAGCACCCACATGGTGGCTCATAGCCACCTGTAACTCTAGTTCTTGGGGGTCCAGTGCCCTCTTCTGGCCTCCACAGGCCCCTGCTAATGTGCACAGAAATACATTCAGGTACATAGACATACATGCAGGCAAAGCAATTTTTTTTTTAATTATGTTCACATAATTTTTTTTTTTTTTTTTTTTTTTTGAGATAGGGTTTCTCTGTATTGGTTTGGAACTAGCTCTGTAGACCAGGCTGGCCTCGAATGAGGTGCTGGGAAGTCAGGACTGAATTTCTTAGCCCCATGCCCAATGGTATTTGAAATCATGTGATTCATTGAGGTTAGACTAAGGTTCAGAAATGTTCAATATTTTAGCCAAGAATATTTTATAATTTCCCTGAAAACAATCATGGGCTTTTAAAAAGGGGGAGATAAAATAGTAAATATTTTATATATGCAAATGTAGAAAAGCCAAGGATTCTAGGTCCACCCTTGGCCAGGTTTACCACTTCAGTGTGAATTATATACTTCTCCCATTGGCCTCAGAGTGCTTTCTGTTAGCTTTTAGAATGACTGCAAAGAGACACTTGCATCTTCCTGTGAGTCAGAGATTGAACCTAGAGTGTCTTTGATACTTATTTGGCTTTGTAATGCATGTTTATTTTTTACAGGGACTCCACATATCTGAAAGAAATAGACCAAACCAACCTTACAGCAAAAGCAGGTTGCATCAGACAACAGTATCATCCAGATTAAAAATGAACCGACTGCCTGTGAAAGACCACAGGGCTCCTTGGATACCTCCAAACCCCACGTCCCCACCAGCCTCTCCTAAATGGTATGCAAAATTCAAGGACTATGAGTTTGCATGGCATTATTTTTCTTCCACAGAGGACACACATTAGAGCAAATGAGCTAGTAGGCTTCATTCTTTCCCTTGGGCAGAAATGCTTATTTGGGTGAGTGATACATGAGTTTTTTGTCTAGAAGCTTGTTGGTTCCTTTTTGTACCTGTCCATGGGTGGAGTATCTCAGTGTACAGTGGGTATGTGTCATTGTAGGAAGGATTGTGACTGTTGTCTGTTCTGTGTGTAGATTGTGCTTACTTGAGGCTGGACATTGTATGTCTCTTATGTCTTGTTTTGTTTAGAGTTTCTCTGTGTAGCTTTGGAGCCTGTCCTAGAACTCACTTTGTAGAACAGGCTGGCCTTGAACTCACAGAGATCCGTCTGCCTCTGCTTCCCCAGTGCTGGGATTAAATTCATGTGCTACCATCATCTGGCTGATTGTGTGTTTTTGTTTGTTGTTGTTTGTTTTCATGACTTTGTCCTGATTTCTTTGTTTTATGCATGTCAATACAGGGATGTGAATTGAGTTAGTAATATAATAGGTCAACAGGGTGAAGTCTGTACTGCTAACCAAGTGGGTCTTGACCTCTTTGGGGGTCAGACAAGCCTTTTCATAGGAGTCACGTATCAGATATCCTACATAATAGATATTTACATTACGATTTTATTTTAGTTTTAATTTTTCAAGATAGGGTTTTTCTGTGTAGCAGTTCTGGCTGTCCTGGAACTCACTTTGTAGACCAGGATGGCCTCTTAGGATGAGCCATGGGAAGCGGACAAATGATTGCAAAAGGCATGCTTTTCCATTTGGTGCAGCGCTGCGTGGCTAAAGGTGAAGTCCATTCCAAGAGATGCCACAAAGGAACAGTCCCTCCAGCAAGAAGATACTGAGGAGGGAAGTCAGTTGGGAGGTGCTGCCAAGCAAGAAGCAGCCAGGTTTGTATTAGCATTTTTCAGAATTAAAGGGCACCATTTATATATAGACTTGGAAGCAAAGCTCTTCTTATCTTTTCTGTGTCTAAAGCTGATTATTTAAAATTAGGTTGCTGAACTTTCCTATTACACTCTCCAGCTTACCACAGGCCCACCACTCTTTTATTCTCTCTTATTTCATTCATTCAAAACTTTTATGTATGTCATTTGCCAATTTGTAAATGGCACAGTTGTGCACTCTCTGCACTTTAAAAAAAAAAAAAAAAAAAAAAAGAGCAAATAAGACCATAATCCCAGCCCTTCTTATTTGCCACCAGTGGGAAAATAGATGTAATTAGTTGTGATTTAAGATAGAACATGGTATACACCCTAAGATCTGGGCAAGTTCAGGGCGGGGAGTGTTTACTTCTTGGTGAAGAGAATGGAGCTTCATGCAGGGAGGTAGGAATTAAACCAGGACTAGCACAGGCAGGAATAAATGTGAGGGGTGTAATGAAAACGTTCCAAAGGAAGACAGCAGTGAAAGCAGCTTGCTCTGCATTTGTTTGGCTGGAATTACCCTGGCAGTTATGGGAAAGCAAACATGAAAATGGGTATTAGGGCCAGGGGGTAACTCAGGAGTACAGCATGGCTCCAGTGTGTAAAGTACACTGTACTCCAGTAGAGCTCCATCTCCAGCCCTTAAAAAAGAGTGAGTCGTTAGAGAATTTGGCGATATTCACATATCCTGAACCAGAATAATCAAAGCTCTTTACAGATAGGCAGTAAAATTGTTTAGAGTTACCTTTCCCTTTTGTCTTTATTTGGTTTTATTATACCTTCACTGGGGTCCATTTCTTGGTCTAAACAAGTAACCTGTCCTGAGTACAGTGGTGATTGGCTTTCTCATCAGCAGCTTCCTGTGTATGTACTAATTGTATATAAATAACCTTTTGTAAGGACATACTGTGGAAGCTTTCATGGATACACAGAGAGTACATTACTGTTTGAATCCTTTCATAGAGCCAGGATTGGTGCTGTGCTGGAGGAGGGGGCTCATTTCTGCTCTGTTTCTGTGATAATGGCACTGTGTGGCATTGAGACATGGTTACCTTGACTCTTTTACTGTCTGTTAGGCTTTCTTGGCCAGATGCTCGGTCTTCCAAAAGAATGAAGGAACTAGAAGAATTGGAAGCCAAGGAAATGGAAAGAATGCAAAAGCAGAGGTAAATAGTTGTTTCTGAGGTAAACAAGGAGGTGGGTTTGTTCTGCATTGTCTCACTCCTTTGCCAGGGAGTCAGGATTGTTGACCTCACTTCTGCTTACTGGCTCTCTGCCTCCTTAAAACTGCAAAGCTACTGATGAAGCCAGTGGTAGAGCCAAAGATAGAAGCCAGGGCAGTCCTGACTGCCCTAAGGAGAGCTGACAGGACTTTACCTCCCTCTAGACTTGATTGGCTTGAGGCTGAGACTTCTAGAAGAACCAAGGAGCTGGATGAACTGAAAGCTGAAGAAATGGATCGACTTCAAAAATTAAGGTATATGTTTGCTACTGGAGAGTGATAGGGTGTGTGCCCCTATTTTAATTGATTCTTATAGTTTGAACAGCCAGCCTGGACTTTGTCAACCTCACCTCATTCCCAAATCAAGAACGGAATGAATGAACATTTGCTTGTTTCTATGTACACTACACCACAGTTTCCTGGGAGTGTGTAGAGTGTGAAGAACTACAAAACCACATAGGATCTGGGAGGAGTTCTGTGTTTGCTTCTTGTTAGCTGCAGTGCATCCCAAGGCGGATATCATTCTTCCTGAGGGCAGAGGGTGAGCGGATGTGCGTGGTGTGTGTGAATGATGAGTGTGTGGATGCTTTTGTCTCACGTTAGCCTGAATGTGGTCTGAGGTTTTCAGATGAGTTCACTTTCCCCGGTTCATTCGCTAAGAGTGCTGCCACCTAACAGGCAATGAAGAGATATGCTTGAGATGTAATGGAGCTGATGCCACTGCCACAGGTGACTCATTTTTCCAGCTCTGATAATCATTCACCCTGTAGTCAAATGAACAAAGCATTGATTCAAACATCTGTACGTTTTGTCATCATTAGCGATGGCATTCAGTCCCAGTTACAGGGCTCTGGTTCTTTCATTAGAGGCCAAGGTGACTAAGGTTAAGATTTTAGTTACATAATCACAGAATGCTAGGATTTCAAGGATTTCCCCCCTACACACATAACCGATAGTTCCAAACTTCTGCTGTCTCCAAGAAGTGGCCAGCATGTGTATACATACCTCTACAATGGGGTGGTCACAGCTTTTGGAGGGACTCTGCCTTGATCATCCCTAGCTAGTATAAGGTTGATTGTCTGTGACTCTTGTCCACTTGTCTTTTCGTATGTTTATTATTTTATGTGTATTTCTTTTCTGAAAAAAACAAATGTAGTATAACAGAAAAACACACTAAATTCACATATACGGTTCAGAATATTATAAATGAACACCTGTGTGTTGCCTCCCAAACCAGGTAATGTTGTTGTAGAAGCTATGCCCACTTCCCCCTAGTGATACCTACTGTCCTGATTCCTGAGTTAATCTTTTAGTTACCCTTGTTCACAAATCTACTACTGATGAATAAATACATTGCTGCCAGCAACCTTAATTTTGGATACAGAAGTACAAATTTAGTAGAGCATGGGAAGGGCAGTTTTACTAAGGTTAGAGGAAGACTGGAGAGAATAGGTTGCAGAACCTGAACCATCACTTGACTTTAAGTTTTCCTCAGAGTATTCCAGAGCCCCATCCCAGGAATCAGAGAGCAAGAGCATGAATGAGTCATGACAGACAAGATAGACTTTACCACCTCAGGGCCTGCAGGTGAACTAGGTCTACTAGACTTCTGGAAGTCTTGTCTGGAGAGTGAGCTGCCTGGTTGTGCTTTGTTTTCTCAGCTCCGGGCAGCCTCTGGGGTGAGGGAGGACCCTCAGCAGATAGGTCCCAGAAGGTCATCACTTCATCAAGAAAGACAAGTGTCTAGGCTGGGCTTGCTTACATGGATTTTTGTTGTTGTTGTTGTTGTTGTTGTTATGTCCTCTTTCTGTTTGTGTGCTTGTTTTGATGAAGCGTGGCCTAATTTAGCTTCTTTTTTTTTTTTTTTATTGTATTTTATAGCTTTATTGGATACTGCAGATAGTTCTCATCCACATTGATTGTCTATAGGTTTGAGGGGGGTACACGGGTGGTGGTTTGGTTGTTAGTGTTTTTTGTTTTGTTTTGTGTAATGTTTTGAATGTGGTAACAAGGATATAGATTACCAAAGTATAGAGCTTGTTTGGTGACTCCCAATCCTCGTATTCTGGACAAATGCTTGCAGATATAGTAGGAACAATCATTTGGCCGAGATGACTTTGTTGATTCCTGCTATCAGCATGCACATCTGGAGTTCCCCCTCTCCTTTGTGGCAGATTTTAGATTTCCTTGAATGTCCAAGAGGCACACTTCCTGAAGTCCACCCCACGGATACCTTTGTGAGTGTTGATGTATTCTCAGGACACCACAGTCTTAGTTACTTTTCTATTGCTATAATAAAACACCATGAACAAGGCAACTTATAAAAGAAAGCATTTAATTGGCTTACAGTTTCCATAAATTAGACATAATGCAGCATGAAGGAATGGGTAAGAACTCACATCTTGTTCTACAAGTCAGAGGCAGAGAAAGACACATACATTGAAAATGGCTTTGATGCCTCAAAGCCCTTTCCCAGTGATAGACCTCCTGCAACAAGGACACATCTCCCAGTCCTTCCCAAACAGAAGAGTTCCACCAACTGGGGACCAAGTATTCAAACATGTGACCGATGGAGATCATTCTCACTCAAACCACAACAGCCACCTCAGTGATGGCAAAATGGCCTTTCTTCACCCCTTGCAGGAGGCATATGCCAGATTCTCTAATTTAGCTTCTTAGAGAGGATGAGTTAGGAGTGGTATATGCCTGTGATCCCAGCACTTGGAAGACTGAGGCAGGAGGATTGCCATGAGGCCAACCCATTCTATAATTGCTTGACCTTGTGTCAAAAAAATAATAATAATTAATTGGAGGGAAGGGAGTCTTTTTGCCAGACATTTAAAATCTAAAAATATCTGTTTTATGCTTATATTTGCATACCCATTATTAGTCTTATTAGAGAATCCTTATTTGAGAATGATTTTTAGCAGAAATTTTGTTAATATTATACCTTTTATTATTAGATAATTATACATATACAAGATTGTAATCATACAGAAAAACCTTGGGAAATAATTTTTTTAGCTACCTAGTGTACCATCTTAAACTGTTGACTACATATAGCCAGGGTGTAGATATTGACACAGTGAGGGTACATGTGATCAGCTAGCATTGCTACAGTCATGAACATGCCCATCACCACAACATCCCTTATGTTGCTGCCCCTAATCTGCTTTCCCTTTTTATAGTTTTGTTTCAGGACTTTTATTTCTACAGTGTATAACTTTCTGGAACTGGCTTTTTAAATTTTTGCTTATTCCAATGGGAGGGAATTATTGTACCATAGTGTGCACAGTGTACACATGGCGGTCGGAGGCCCACTTGCAGGAGTCAGTTCTCTTATTCAACTACGGGGATCAAACTCTGGTCATCAGGCTTCACAGCAAATGGCTTTAGCTGCTGAGCCATCTTGCCTGCCCTAGAATTGACCTTTTTTTCCCTGAACTAATTCTCTGAAGAGTCATTCTGGTCACTGCACATGCTATTTGTTCATTCTTTCTGTTGGTGAGTTGAAGTTCATAGTTTAACCAGTCATCTTAGTAAACGACTGAGGGACATCTGGGTTGTTATTAGTATGGCATTGTTATGACTAAAGATGGTTTAAACATACATGCATTGTGTGATGTGTTTTTATTTCACTGTAGTAAGTTCCCAGAGTGAATTTGCTGGGTTGGATGCTTCTGTATGTTTTGGTTTCCGTCTTAGTCACTGTGAAGTCTGTTGCTATGAAGAGACACCATGACCAATGTAACTCATATAAAAGAAAGCATTTAACTGGGGGCTTGCTTATAGTTTCAAAGGCCTAGTCCATTATCATCATGGTAGAGAGCTTGGCAGCAGGCAGGTATGATGCTGGAGATATAGCGGAGAGTTACATGCTGATCTGTAAGCAGGGTGTGGGGGGGGGAGAGAAAAAGAGAGGGGTGGGATTTTGGTCTGAACTGAATCCAGATCTACTTTTCATAAGACCCCAGGGAATACATGTGGCCATTGCAGTTGGAGAAGCACCTGGAGGAGTTACATAAGTATGTAAAATAGGACATTCTGACCACTAAGTTGTCAACTTTACTTCTGAACAGTGTTTCTGCCACCCAGTTAGCTGACAAGGTTGAGGAGGCAGTGCTGGAGCGGCTGAAACCCCTCTTGATCAAAGCCCAGGTAACTGGTCCATCTCATTTGCTTGCCTTTGGCAGTCTGAAATGAAGAGTTATTACACAGGTCATGCTGACCCTTTTTTAGAGGGCCAAGTGTCTCTTTGATGGTGGGAGCCTGCAGTACAGAACAGGGTTTCACTCTGGGACCCTTCACAACCTCCAGACCACCACACAGTATCCACTGCCCTCATGTCCTCTGTGGGGGTGTGTGTGGAGGGGGCCAAGGTTATAGGTAAGGGGAAGAGAAGCCGGCACTGCTTTTGAGAAGGGTGACATTTTAACTTGGGGAAGGAGTTTAGAGTGAATTTTCAATTATTTCCAAATCAGTCTATTGATAATGATGGTGTTCACTTAATTATCCCCTGGATGCTAGTCTCTGTGACCTTGGTAAACTTAGAATGATTAGTTATTTTACAATAGAAGAGAGATTTGGGGCACCTCTGCACAAACTAGAAGTTTCTCTCAAAGATGAAGTGACTTACAGAATACCGCGATTTTATGTCACCCTCCTGTAAGCAGTAAGGATTCAATAGTGACACCCTGGAAATAGAAGCCATGTTGTTTTCATGCCTATAGATGAAGTCATGTAATAATATTATGACCTTAATTGACTGAATGGCATTCTGAGTCTAAGAAGTATTAGGCTATTATAACCTCAGAGGGCTCCTAGAGATGGAGTTATGCAGTCTCCTTATTTAATGCTTGAGAAAAGTATAGACTGGACAAGTTGAATGACTTGCAAAGCAGCATATAGCTACTCTGGCAGTGATTACAAAGTTGAGAGAGTTAAAAAATTGTGTGGAGCACTGAGAACAACACATGGCATTTGTTTTCATGAGGACTGAGTGCTTTGGTTGCTGCAAGAAGCCTACTATAGCTAGAGCTGATGAATAGTTCCACACAGGTTATTCTGCAACATGGCTTATTTGTTCTGAGTTGTGAATTTTCATAATCTGTGAATGCATTTGTCCATTTTAATAGAGAGTTAATTCTTCTGTGGAAGTAAATAGTCTTTTGAAGGATTGTCTGTCACCAAGTGCAGCAGCAGCAACAACAGTAGCAGCAGCATCAACAGCAGCAGCAGCAGCAGCAGCATCCCAGCCTGCAGAGCAGGTGCGTGGTGTCGGGAGTCTGATATTATTACGTGATCATGTCTCTAGTCAAAGGAAAATGGTATGCAGATTACTTAGCAAACACCACATTATCCTACTCAAGGAGGGTGAAAATTCTTTTTCCTGTGTAACATGTTAATTCTTAGAGTGTGTATTTAGTTCTGTGTCTGAATAGGCCTTGTAACCAGCTCACAGACATCTCTGGAGCTGCAGGTTTTTGTTGGTGCACTTTTCTCTCTCCCCTAATGACAGAGTGTAGATAAAGTGTGGCCCTGAATATTGATGGCTTGAGGCAGAAGAGTAGCTCCCTCATTTCTTTTTCATCCAGCCTGCTTTGGCTCATTACTGGCCTAATTTCCTTTACTTTTAAGGCCTAATATTTTTGTTGAGCAAGCAAGTTTTGAGTACCCAGTACATGACCACGCCTGGTCTAACAGAAAGGAAAGAAGGTCCAAGAAAGAAATGAAAGCATTCGAGGAAAATGAAAACCCCCTTTGTAGTTCTTCAGGCTGATTTTCCTCAGGAGGATTTGCATTTAATGTTTAGAGGATTGTCCCTTCTGCTTGGCCTTAGGGACTTTGGAGTAGAAAGTACAAGATGCATTCCTTTAGTCTTCTGAATGTTGAAAAGAAGGTGCCTGCTGCTGTAATTGCTCCAAACAAGTAACAGGCAGAGAATAAAGGAGGTAGGAGGAAGCAGGAGAGAAGATGCAATAGCCCCATGGCCAGGAGTAAGAAGACTGTAGGTCAAGATTGTTCCAACTAATGTAACTATCTTCATTGCTGTCATTCTTTCTGTGTTGTTATTTTATATTAGAGTCCCATGTGAGGTCAGGCTGTGAAGACTGGAACTAAGCCTCCATTGTTCATTATAGTGTAAGGCGTGTGATGGCGGTGCTTTTTGTGCATCACCACCACTAAAAGCCCCTTTTAGCCTCCCCACAAAGTAATGGGCTAGCGTCTAACCTAGGAAATCAGCTCCATACAGCAGCTCAATATGAAAGGAAAATGAAATACTAACAATACAACAAACATATAAATACTATAACTAAAACAGGTTTTTATGTGCAAATTACTTTGTAGGCCTTAAATCATCTTTAATACAATTGTTTAAAAGATAAAACCCATCTCTTTTTGTTTGTTTATTTTTTGTTTTTTTGTTTTCTTATTTTACATATGGACCCCAGTTTCCTCTCCCTCTCTCCCATTTCCCCTGATCACCCTCCTATTCCATTCCCCCCTCACACATGTCACAGGGAGGGTGATGCCTTCCAGGAGGGAACAAGGGGTAGCTAAAACCCATCTCTTGTTTAGAATTCTGGGTTGTTGGAAGCATTCTCATTGCAAAAAAATTTCCAGGCTGTACATCAATAATCACAGTTAAAAAAATAATCAAACAGGCAACTAATGACTGCTGAGAGAGAGAGAGAGGGGCAGAGAGAGAGAGACAGAGAGAACTAGTCTTCCCCAGGGATGAACCCCCTAATTATCCAATACAGAATGGTCAACCCTGAAATCATGTACACAAAAGTAACACTAAGTGTCTTCAGCAGGTTGTGTTTATATGTTTATATATATATATATGTATATAAACATATATATATATAGTGTGTGTGTATGTGTAATAATAATAAACAGAGGCTAGCACTTAGAGAGAGAGAGTAAGAGGGGGACATGGGAAGAATTGGATGGAGGGAAAGGGAAGGGGACAAGTTATATAATTATATTTTAATTAAAATATTTTTTAAAAATTAAGAGTTTGAGGCCAGCCTGGTCTACAGAATGAGTTCCAGAACAGCCAGGACTACACAGAGAAACCCTGTCTCAAAAAACCAAAAGAAAAGGAAGAAGACAAGTCCAGAGAGGCTGAGTAAATTTGTCCAAAATTGAAGGGCAGAACCAGGCCTCACTCCCAGGAATGTCTCATTCTTTACTTAGATGATATTAAAAGATAATACACACTAGATTATAGATCTGTATTAGGATTAAGAAAAATAGATGGGTGTTGCAACAGAAGACTTTGGTCCTAGCACTTGGGAAGCAGAGGCAGGCGGATCTCTGTGAGTTTGAGGCCAGCCTGGTCTACAAAGTGAGTGCCAGGACAGCCAGGGCTATGTAGAGACCCTGTCTCAAAAAAAAGAAAAGAAAAGAAAAGAAAAGAAAGCATGGAGAAATGCTTTGCCTACTATAAAGTACCTTGTTAATTTTAAAGCACACAAAGTCTGGATAGAATGTTAAAGTTCTCTTAAATCATAACAAGAGCCTCAAGCAAAGAAAAGAACTCTTAACTTTGTAGTGCTGGGAGGCTTTTACAAGGGCACAGACCAGAAGAAAAGGCATGCCATCTAGAATGTGTGATGTATAAAATATGGTACATTCCCCAAATGTGACAGAAGAGTTATGTGCTCTGCCGGTCAGCAAGGCAGATGAAATGGCTGGTTAAGTTGCAGTAAAGACACTACTAGGTCAGTGCAACCACTTAAGGGACTGATAAGAATTGTATTGGCTGGTGCTTTTGTTAGGTACTGACTGAGAAATTTGTTCTGGCATAGAATCTCTGCCAGTTGGATCACTATGCTTTGGAGTTATAATGACCAACAATAGTCTTTAATTTTTCAGTCTCTTTATATTACCTTTTACCCTTTCTTCCTTCATTTTGTAGGCTTCAGGCATCAGTTATGGATCCAGGAATATTCATCATCTGAATGACCATCTGGAAGATGCTGCTCATGAGCTCTGGGCCATGACTCATGATAAGAACTTGGGGATAGAAACTTCAGCCACATTGGGGGACAGCAAGGATAGCCCCGATCTAGAGACCATGATGCTCCGGATGGAGGAAATGGAAGTAAGGTCTGGGCCTGCTGGTCTGTTTTGCCAGTGGGGGTTCACTTTTGCTCCTGATCATGCCACATGCTGATCAATGTGTCAGAACCACAGGGTCCTACTTTTAAATCCAAGCTCTCTTGCCAACTAAGTATACCTTGATTCAGTCGCTTACCCTGCCTAATAAGTAGGGCTTTTGAGAATAGAAGAAGATATAAAGTATTTATTTAGCAAACTATCTGACACATAACCCAATAAGTGATCCATGCTATTATCACCCTGTTAATTCCAAAATCATAGATTCTGGGACTTGGTCGTACAGTTTGGATCATTGACATTGTTTATAGACACCTTTCAGCTGCCTCTTCTAGCTTGCTGTAGTGCCCTCACCATCTTTAGCTTCCAGATTACTACTTTTATAATGACTTCTTATTCTTACAAACTTTTAGACCTCACCCATGAACCATCCTACTGGATTGTTCAAGAACAGGAAATAAAACCCAGTGATCAAATGGTGTGATCAAGGTCATAAAAAGCTGCAGAGAGAGCTGGGACGCCCTGCCCAGGTCTGACCCCACACTGAATTTTTGTTTTAGTTATATCATGATTATCTCATTTCCTCCTCATTGCTAAATAGGAATTTATAAAGAAGATAATTTTTGGTTGATTTTTAAAAATTTAAAGACACACTCTGTCCTAGTCTTTAAACTCCTTTTATTTTCTCTCTCTCTCTCTTGGGTTAACTCCCTAGACCTGAGCTGTCCTAAATAGTAGAAATAGCCAATATATGTCTGTTGAAACACAAAACTAATGAAGATGAAAATACAGGTGGTCCATAGATGGACCTGTGTTTGTCATCACAGCAAGCTATAGGGGGACAAGCTGGCTGAGGTTGCAGTCATGTTAGTCACACTTTCTTCTAGGCTTCTCTGATGAGCTGCTCAGCAGACACCTGTTCTCATCAGTATCCGTCTGCTGAGATGTTTCCACACTTACTACTTCTGGCTTATAATGAAACTTATTTTTCTCATAAATTAAACTTTCTTTTTTTAAAGAAATACCAGGAGACAGTTCGCCAAAGATATAACAAAATTGTATACGCTGACCCTCATTTATGGATGCAAGAAGAAAGAAATGGTAGGTGTTTTTCCCCCAACCCCATCCTCAGTATTTTACCCTGAAAAATGTCAAACATACTGAAAGGCTGAGAAAAACTGCCCAGTGATGACCAAACTCCTCACCTTGTAGCTATGAGGTTACCATGTCTGCTGTCTACTCTCTGTTCTCTGCTCATCTCAGTTTTGCATTTCAGATGATCTTCTCTATGTATTTCATAGTAAACTATCAGATAGCAGTACATTTCCCTCCAAATATGCAGCATCAGCTTGAGTTTCTTGTTTATTTAATTTATGGTTTTGTTTTGTTCTTCTAAGTAATAGAGAGATGCCTTAGTGAGAGGCTGAAGCAGAATTGACAGGAGCTCCTGGGCCAGCTAGCCTGTCATAGGCAAGAAGAGAGATCCTGGTTCAAACAGTGAAAGGGCCTCACTCATCTAATGTTGTCTTGACCCCCAGGCATGCTCCACACCATGCCAGCGCTTGCATTCTTATATCTTCATCTCTCTCTCCCCCCCACACACACACAAATTTACTAACTAAAAACATTTGTGTATAACACCCAGATCTTAATCATGCCATTTGAAGAGTTTTGACAAATGGATCTCTTTCTTACCCAAACTCCTGTCTAGATGTAGCACACACCATTGCTGCAAAAATTTCCCGTGTCCTTTCCAGTCAATGCCCTAACTTTAGAAAACACTGCTTTTCAGCCATGTTGACTAATCTAGAGGTTCGAGTAACTGCAACCTCTTGCTGGAGAATGTGTTTGTATCTAGGCTCTTCTGGTAGAATCTGTTGTTGCTTATTTTCTGTTGATACTGTAGCAAATAGAAGCTTAGAACACTTCTTACCACCAGTTATTGAATCAGAACATAGATTTATTCTCTTACAGCTTGAGAGATCAGAAGGCTGGAAATAAAAGAAGTCAAAGTGCGTGTGGAGCTGGTTGCTTCTGGACACTCCAGATTAGGGTCTGTTCTGTACAGTTCTCCCAGTTTCCGCTTCTGTGGTCGGCCACCTTTCTTCCTGTAGTCTTGCCTTCCTTTGTTTGCCTGTTGTAAAGAAATCTAAAATCACATATACAGATTACTCTCCCCACCCATCACAAGATCTTTTTTTTTTTTGCTAACTTTATGGCTTTTATTTTTTTTTAATTTTTTTTAAATTTATTTTATATAACAAAGTCCATTTAAATGAAAACAAACATTTATAGACAATATTTTGGAATTTGGGCCTTGTTCTTTCCAAACTACTTCCTGCTGGTAAGGGGCGCTGTCATGGGGGATTTGAAGAAGATTCAGAAATCATCCTACATCACAAGATCTTAAAGTCCTTTCTGCAGTTTGCAACAATTGATTGCAAACCTTTTGGTGTCCATTTACCCTACTAGTTAGCCCTCTCTCAACCCCTCCCTGCTTCCCTCCTTCTTTCTTCCTGAGTAGTACTCCTTGGGATGTACATACCACATCTACTTTGCATGTTTGCTGGTGGATCTGTATTTGTTTTCTTTAGTTTGGGACTATTAAGCTAAGGCGTTATAGAGATGGCTCTTTGATTAAGAGTATTTATTGCTCTTGCAGAATACCTGGGTTCTGTTCCTAACACCCACATGATGACTGACAGTAGGCTCTAAATCTAGTTCCTGGGGATCTGAATCTCTCTTATAGCCACCAAGGCAGCAGGCACACAGTGTACACAGATATGGGCAGGCGAAAACCTACATCAAATAAAAATAAATACATCTAATTTTTTTAAGTAAATAATGAATCTAAAAGCAAGCAGATTCCTGTAATCTGAAGCTGAGGCAGGAAGATCAAGAGTTCTGCCCTGGGTGGTAGATGAATTCCAAGCTAGCCTTGCTTACACACAAACTGTCTCAAGTACATCTGCTGTAAACACATTAATATATCTGCTGTAAACACATTAATATATAGTCTTTGTGTGGCCTATCACCTTTTATTTCTCTTGGGTAAATACCTAAGGAGGTCATGTGCTAGGTGTATCAAACTTTATGAAAACCTGCCTCAAGGCTGAGCCAGGTCTGCCCCTGTCTCCATTGAGTTGTCCTTGCTTGCCTCTGGCAGAGTTGGTCTTTTACGTTGTGTCCTTGTAATGAATCTGGCAGGGGAATTGGTATCTCATGGTATTGTAGTTTCACCTTCTGCACAAAGGTATTGGATTCCCCCCAGAGCTAGATATACAATTGATCTGGAGCTTCCAGATATGCTGGGAACTGAACTCAGGATCTCTACAAGGCCAGTTTATGCTCTAAACCACGGAGCCATCTCTCCAGCCCCTCAATTTCCCATTTTTTTTTTTTTTTTTTTCCTTTTTTTTTTTTTTTTTTTTTTTTTTTTTTTTTTTTTTTTTGAGACAGTTTCTTTGTGTAATAGCTCTCAATGTCGTGGGACTAACTTTATAGACCAGGCTGGCCGCCAACACAGAGATCCACCTGTCTCTGCCTCCCAAAGTGCTGGTATTAAAGGCGGGAGCCACCACCACCTGGCAATTTGTCTTTCTTGATGAGTAGTACTTTGAACCTTTTTTAAGTGATTTAAGTTAATGCTATATAATTCTTTATGAGATTTCCAAATCTTATTGTCTGTTTTTTAATTGGGTTGCCCTTTTACTTTTTAATTACACAGAATATTTGTGTGTCCTAGGCATAAGTTCTTGTCAAATATGTTTTAGGTTGGTTTGTCTCTGTTTTGTGTTGTGTTTTACGGTGCTGAGGATTGAACCCAGTACTTTGCATATGCTCAGTAGACACTGTACCTCAGAACTATCATCTCAGTACTGCCTTTCTGGTTTCTGTTTTGTTTTTAAGTAACTGCTATATTCACATAGTTGTCTAATCAGTGTTCATTGCTACTTTCTCAATTCCAAAACATTTATTTTCTCACACCCCAGAACAACCCTCTGTATGCATCAGTGGTTACTTCCAGCTCCACCCACCCACCCCACACACACATACTCCACCCCTTACTGGCAGCCACTGATCTACTCAAGTGAATGTTTTGCAAATATGTGTTTCCTGTATGTGGCTTAACTAACTACTTCCTCTCTCAATGATGTTAAAGTTTTAATTCTGATAAAACCTCAATCAACTTTGTATATAATTTGGGTTTTTTTTGTTGTTGTTGTTGTTGTTCCCCCCCCCCCCTTTGGTGGCCCAGGAAACCTATGCTTGCTAGTGAGATGAGAGGATACTATATTCTTCTGGGAACTTTATAGTTTGTTTTAGCTTTAATGTTTAGCATTACGGTCTGTCTTGGATAAAAGTTTGTGATCTGAGGAAAAGGCTGGTGATAGTCACTTGTTCTCACTCCATTTAAAGAAAGAGACTTGCTTTTCTCTTTTACTTTTCAAGTAATAAATACATTTACGTTGTGGCTGCAGTTGCTCGGCTGCTGTCACAGTTTGCCTGGGAAGCATTACTCAAATTGTGCTTGACTTGTGTTCATTTTCTCATGAGAGAGTAGATGTGGTTGAGCATTACCCCTAGTGGAACTTAAATTCAGTGCATATTACACTTATCTAGAGATGTGAGGGAAGTTGCAGTTGGTGCTTGATGCCAGCTTATGTCACAGAATTATTTCAAGATACAAATTTATGTCATTGTTTTCTTAAAAAGTATTCTGTGTGTTTAATTTTGAAAGATGAGCCATGTAGCAGAACGAATCTGTACTCTTTCTGTGTTTTGCAGTTTTTGTGCATCTTGTTGTTACTCGTGGTGACACCCCCTGGCCTCTACCTCATGGTCCAGTAATTGAATTGTTCTTCTGGACCTGGCTTATGTGATCCTACCCATGCAGTACTTTTTCTTACATGGCTTGAGCAACAACAAAAATGCTAAGGTCCAGTGTGCTTCCAGAGCCTTAAAATATTGGACTTTCCAATTTGAGATGCTCAATTAATTAAGCTTATACATATGTCCCCAAATCTGAGCAGCTCAAACATTTCTGATCCCAAGCAATTGGGGATACTCAGCCTTTATTATAGAGCTCTCCCCCTTTGCCCGTTTTTGCTTGAGAACCTCCACAGCCTGTTCCAGCAGGCTGCAGCTGTTTTGTCAAGGTGTCTTAACTTTTCCAACTAAGCCCCCAGGTTCACTGAGGCCTAGAGAGTTTATCAGTCATCATGCCTCCATCGAGGCTATTGAAGGTACAGCAAGGACCCTTTCTTCTAATGATTGTGTAGTCAGACAATGGACAGAGGTACAGCAAGGACCCTTCTAACGACTGTGTAGTCAGTCAATAGGCATTTAGCATTTTTTGAATTGGAGGCAGGGTGAAAGGATGTTTTTTTACTGATAGTCTGGTCATGCCACAAAGTTAGGCTGCATACTGTGAAAGACACTTTTAAGAGGACTTAGTGTCTCTTCCTTTCAAGAGGACAACCTTTAATTATTAGTTGCTCTATAGGTCTCTGTGTGTGTTTCAGAGGAGCTTTTTAGGGTCTGGAGAGATTGCTTAGTAGTAAAGAGAGCATGCTATACTTGCAAAGGACCAGAGTTAGTTCCCAGCACTCACATCAGGCAACTCTTAACTGCTTGTAAGTATAGTTCCCAGGCATCCAGGGCCCTCTTCCAGTCTCTGCAGGCACCTACACTCCTTCCTGTGCACAAACCCACACACAAACATATACATAATTAAATGTGTTTTGTTTTGTTTTGTTTTTAAGAGGAACTTTTTAGAACACTAAGAACTGAAGTGAGTGTTGGACACTTGTGATGAGACCACTGTAGGAATCCAGGCAACATGCTTTTTGGCTCAGGTACATTACAGAACCAAACTTAAAGTGATCTTAGGGTCATGTGGTGTCTAATCTTTTCTTCTCTCTGTGAATAACTGAACATTGATTTTACTCTGTAGTAGTTACATTTTTACAAAAGCTGACCTTGGCAGTGTATGTTTCTGACAGTGTGCCATCACCTGAATGTATATGCATCGGAACAGTACTTGAGTGACAGGTCTCTTTCTTCCACTTGAAACACATTCAAAACTAGAAACCACCTGAAACTCAGAAGAGCTCTTGAGCCTGAAAGTTGTAGTTAATAAATCAGTGTGTTGACTCTCATGCAGATTCTTTTGTAACAATGTCCAGAGACAAGTGAAATCCGCTAAGTAAGTGTTCAGGTCTGAGTGGCTTTCTCCTTCTTCAGTGATCAAAGCATTTAAAGGTTGAAAAACAATCTTCATGTCTTTAGACTCTTTGACTGGCACCTGGGTCCTAGTAAAGTGGTGTCTCCTGAGGCCTTTCACAGACCAGTGGACAAAGAGTCTAGCATGGAGCTAGGGAGCAGCACTTGTTTCTGAACACTGACTCTGCAATGTTTTGTTTCTCTATAACTTGAAAATTCACCTTTGTGTTTGAAGCCCCTCCACACCATCCTCGGCCTGTGTCAGTGTGCGTGAAAGATGGCTGTGACTCCCTCACAGTTCATTAGCTACTACCATACTCATAAGAGGGACACATTTGGAATCAATCATTTTATGCCTGTCCTTTCTAGACCAGAGCAACCCAGCAGTAAGTGAAAGACCTTTGGCTCCCCTTCCAATCAAGATCACTAAGGCAGCAACTCCCAAGAGCCCAGCTGTGAACATCTTATTAGAGAGGCCCTGCAATGCCAAGTAAGTGGCGGTGATGCCGTGGTGTTTGCTAGTCAGTGGCACTGGGTTTAGTTAAATTTTGAATCCTTTTAGTTCACATATGGCAGAGGTTGTTTGGAGCAAGTTCTTGCAAACTTTGATGGGTCGCTCAAACAGTGGTTCTGTGTAGGCATTGAACACTTGTATTGTAAGGAAGCCTCCAATACCTGGCAGCATGTAGCTAGCTTTCATTCTGGCATGTACAAGTTGTGCTGACACTTAGTTTTTTATTTCATCTACAGAGCAGGGATGCCTGCAGTGTTGAGAATTAGTGTGGTAGGAAGGGAAGTGGGCAATGATAGTAGGAAACTGATCTTTGTTCAGTATGGTACAGGAACAGTTCACCCTTGTTTACATTTAAATGCCTTCATCCTTCTTATATGTTCTCAGCTCACTGGATGAAAGTGTGGGAACAGAAGAGGAATCAGAGAAAAGGGACGCCCCCTTCCCCTCTGTTGGAGAAGAGCTGCATCAGAAAGAAGGCAGAACTCCCCTCTTTGTCCCACCAAGGATGCTGCACAGCATTGGCGATTACTGTAGCCGATTTGAACAATTCCTACGGATCATATCTCATGAGGCTATAGGCTCCTTCAACCCATGGCTACTAGCTGAAAGGTCAGTAAAATTTCTGTGTCTCTGCTTACAGACCAAGGACCAAATTTTAGACTTGAAGAGGAGCTGGAGGAAGAACTAGCTGAGGTCTTAATCACAGCCTCCTCTGTGAACTGATCTTTTCCAGATGCAGGAGGCCATGAAGATATCATGGGCTTTGCCACCTGAGGAGCAGAGTGCCCTGCAGTCTCCTTTCGAGCAGACTGTCAGGCCAAGCTCAGGGTGCTATAAAATATTGTAGACTGAGGGACTTAACACAACAAGAATGTCTTTTTAACATCTGGAGGCTGGGAGTTATCTAAGATCAAAGGGTCTGGTGGGTGTCCCCTTCCTGGCTGGCAGACAGCTGCCTTCTTGCTCTGTCTTCTTTTGACAGAGGTTCATCGCCGCCTCTTCCTCTTGGGGCACTAGTCCCATCATGAGGACCTGTCTTTGACCTCATTTGAACTCCATTGCCTTCCAGGCTCAGCCCATCACACTGGGAGTCAGGGCTTTAGTCACTCAAGTCAGGGCTGATTTCTTAATGCTGTTGCTGAGGACTTTACTCCATCAAAGAGCACAAGTACTGCTGGGCATGAAATAGCCATTATCAGATCCTTGTGTCTGAGACACTGGCCTTGACAAGCAGCTAGCTTCTGGCAGCACTGTTCTTCATTCACCTCTCTCCTATACCCCTAAACCCTATACCTCTTCCAAGTACCGCTTTATTACAAAGTGCAAGGTGTTTTTATCATTGAGCAAAATAGTAGATTGCTTGTATTTTCCTTAAGTTTTAAACATGCTCATTTACATTCTTGGATTATATATTACGAGCTTTTGACATCCTGCACTGCTTCACCTTAAGTTATTAGAGCCCATGTGCTGCTCTGGGCAAGGTATGCACTAAGGAAGAAGACGTAGGACTTCAGGGAACCTGGATTCCAACACGGGACATCCAGAAAAATGGCAAAACCACTTCAAAAGAAATTGCCTTTAAGCATAGGATGCAGACAGTCCAGACTGGCAGAGAAAGACAAGTCAGGAGGGATGTTGCTTTGAGGTAGAGTGAAGACAGCTGGAAGGAAGCCATGTCATGTGCTACTGCTGTGCTGAGTGACTGAGTGCCCTTGTGTTTCCCTGGTAGTTTAGTGGAGAAGCAGTGGTAGGAATAAGAGAGCAAAACAGATACGAAGACGAGGAAGTCATTCCAGAAATGACATGTTTCTGCTTCCAGAAACAACACCGTGATTTGAACCACTTCTCCCCCGAGAACAACTGTTAATGGAAACCCTGAATTAAAAATAAAATGTATACACTTGAAGGCATCTAGATACTAACTAGGTAATGAAGAATAACTAGGTCAGGACCATGGAGAGGACAGGCACTCAGCCCATGGTACGGTGCTGAATGGTTTGCTCTGGGGTGGGGGAAAGCCTATCCATAGCTTCTTCAGGTTAGAAGATGAGGTTGGAACCCAGTGGTGCCAAGCTACTACCTTAGGGAAGTTTCTTCACTTTGTTGTTTGTGGTGCTGGTATCGAACCCAGGACCTTGTACATTCTAGGCTGAGCTACATCTACTGCTGAGCTACATTCCCAGGCCTTGTATTCTTTCTGTTTGAGACCATGAGAGGTTGCATTCTCTGTAAGTTCAGGTGGCCTGGATATATGGGACTTCACTCAATGATGCATCTTCTCAGAGGCTGAGGTAGCTCAGATACTCTTGTTCCCCAGGCTCCATATGTAAGCAAACGTTTATTTTCTCTGCAGGAAGATCAGCGTGTCATGGCAGACTTAGTTTATTTCTATATTTTTCAGAAAACAGTGTCTAATTTATAGTGACAATATCCAGACAAGAGAGAGACAATAGTAACAGCCCATCCACAGCAGTTCCAAATAGTGAAGCTATTTATAGACTCAAATAACTCTGTGTGGTCATAGAAATAAAAGACACAACTTAGAATTTTGTCAGAGGACTAGGAGCTAATCAAAATTCAAGGATAAAAAAATATACTTTCTGAAATGAAGAGTGTATTGGATAGGAAGAGAAATGTGGAGGCTTGGAATGTGGAAATATATATATCCAGAGTGGTGTAGAAAGGCAAAATTAATGATGAAAAGCAAAGGCAGGAGGATTGGAAACATAGAAGACCAAGTAGTGTGGTCTAATATATGTGAAGATATGGTCTTATGAGAAGAGAATAAGAAAACAAGTCTGAAACAATATCCAGAGAGGTAATGACTGTCATCCCCAAAGTCATGAAGACACAGGAAAGCATACCCCAAATAAGTCTGAAAATATCTCAGTATAATTTACTTATTAATTATAGATGGGAAAATAGTGATTTATAAGGAAGAAGCCTGGCAGACATCACCATAACTGAGTGGTCGAAATCAGCAGTCATAAGTAAAGGGGCAAGCACTTAAGGGACAGAGTAGCCCTGTTTTGTCATCTGTTCCAGAAATATGTAGCTGACAGTGATTGTAAGTGAATACTAGACAACTCCAGATCCGGGGATCTGTAAAAAAAAAAAAAAAAAAAAGACAACTTTTCAAGAATGTTGTGGTCGTGAAAGGAAGACTGAGGAACTTATTTAAAAGAAAGTAGTCTAAAGAGACATGACAACTAAATAGCCTGGATTGGATCCTAAACTAATGTTTTAATGGTGTTATTTGGATGGTCAGCAAGGTTTGAATAAAGTCTGTAGGTAAGATTAGATAATGGTTTATAGTGACATTACTGTAGCTGTTTACAAGGTGTCTTTTCTAGGACACACTGAAGTTCTTGAGGGATACCAGGTCTGCAGCGTACTCTTGAACAGTTTAAATGAAAAGGCTGTGTGTTGTATGTGCATGCACATGTTTATATAGAGACATCTGGGATTTAGAAGACCTTGCCCTTTCCCACAGAGAAAGCAGAAAGCATGCACCTCCACTGAGTCAGGGCTGAGCTGTGACCAACTCATTCATTTCCAGTCTCCTCTATTGTCAGTCATCGAAAGGGTGAGGTCCACATGTCTGTTTTGGTGCTCTTGCAGGGTTTGGAGATCTAGGTGCTACCATCTCAATATCTGGGAGGGCCAGGCCCCTTGCCTTCCTTTTCTTCTTCAGAAGTATCTTTACTCTTCTGGGCATCTGGATCGCCATACAATTTCCAAGTTGATTTACTAGTTTTTCATGAATACTGAACAGCTTCGTGTTTGGCTGCCCATGCCTTCAGCTGTGTCCTTTGTCTTCCAGCTTTTCGGATGAGCTGGTAGATGAAGCCCTGGGGGCCGTGGCTGCGGAGCTGCAGGATGTGTGTGAAGACTATGCAGAAGCTGTGTTCACCTCAGAGTTCCTAGAGGCTGCTGCATGAAAGCTGTCCAGGCAGGGCCCTCATATCTGGAGAAGGGACAGCACCACCCTGTGTCAGCCCATGGGGAACCTTGTCCTCAGCTGCCCACTGAAGAGAAAGGCCAGTGAGGTCATCCTCACTCCGTATTCTCTCATTGTCTTAGCAGTGCTTCTGGAAGTTACAGCAGGATGGGTCATGTTTCTTAGTGCCTGAGGAGCATGAGAGGGTTATAATGATGCAATATTTTCAGAATGTGTAATTTTCCTACTGAAATGGTGTGTTCATATCTCTGACTCAGTTTTGAGATCAAAATGTTTTGAAAGGTAATGGATAAAGACATTTCACATAGGAATCCCAGCCTCTATTGAACCACAGAGGAGGGCTGATCAGTGCTAACCCAAGTGCAGTCACTGTTGGCTCCCAGCACTGTTGGCACCTGGGGTAAATGTGTTCCTCACATTGTCACTGGCACTGTCCTATGAGGACATCTGTCCCTACTGGGTGGCAACCAATGTGGAATGCAAAGCGTAGCGATGCCACTAAGCCTTTCTGCTCAACATCAGTAGGAGTGGGTAGCCCAGTGCACAGGCCAAAGACCTTCTCCAAGGCTTCACTCCCTAGGGGATTTTCACGTTTCCAGTTCCTTGAAGTCATTTATTGCTGTTTGACACATGCTGGTATGAAAAGCATTTCTCTGAATGTAAAGGAAGTTTGAGGATATGAGAGGGCAGGCCTTCACCATGCCAACTCAATTTCCCCAGAGAGCAGAAGATCCTCTCCCCATCACAGAGCATCCCATCTGGAGGAGGGAGCCAAATGGGTGACTGGAAGACTTTTGGACTCTCCAGGGGACCAAAGACACCCACATGGCCTTTGGAAGCCTCATGGGTCCTGGTGCTAAGGTTTTCAGAAACTCTGAATTAAGAAAAAGAAAAGGAATGTGTGTAAAAATAAGGCAACTGCACAAAAAAAAAAAAAAAAAAAAGGTTGTCTGGGACATTAGTTATTTTCATGAGGTTTGGTGAAAGGAATGGAAGAGAGGAAGGTGAGACAAACCCAAAGACGCATGTATGTGTGTGAACCTGGCTACCACAGGTGCCCCTAACCAGCCTCCCGCAATTGTTCCTAAGGCATCAGAAGTTCAGGTGATGATTCAAACTGCTTGGTCACACTTATTTGTGCAAAATTGATTTTTTGTTTAATATTTTCTTGTTTAATATTATTAATGATACATAACCTCAGAATGTAAAGGGCATTGAGATGTTCATAGTTTTCAGTCTAGAGAGTTAAACATGTGCACTTGAGCCAATAGAAGCACTTGTCATTGGTAGTATAAAGTCATTTGTGTGGCAGTTTTTACTGTGCTGTTTTATAAAAAATAAACTCAGTATTTTAAACTATGATCATGTCTATTTGAAATAATTTACATCTCCTTTTTCCCACAGGCAATGTGAAATGGGATTTACAGAAACCACTGAGAATATTTTTGTGTTTGATGTGAACATAGTGAACTATTTGCCACCTCAGAGAAAAATAAATGCTAATAAAACCTAACATTTATTGAGCACATACTAGGGTATTGCTCTAAAGGTATTCCCTGCACTAACTTAATGCTTGTGTGCCCTGTATGAGACAGATACCATCACACCCCATTAATAGATGAGAGCAGGAAGGGGGAGTTTGGGCTAGCTAGCCTATGGTCATGGAGTCAGTCACTCCCATGAAGATTACTGGGTCACTGGGTGCATGCTCTGCCTCTTCTTGTCTCCAACTGCTGTGTAGACGCTGCTTCTGGAGCAGTGCCTTTGCTAAGTACTTCCTGCTGAGGCCTGTCCTTACTGGTGACCTCCTGTACCAGGTGACCACTAGCTCATCCACCTTGTGCCCAGGACTTGCTTCGTAGCCCAGACTCTGGTGAGCACAGTGAGATACAAAAGTGGACCACAAGAAATAAGGATATGGAAACAGGAACTAAATCCTCTGACTCTAGATGCTCCTGGATGCAGCCTTCAGCCAGACCACTGAGTTGTTGCTTTGTGAAAAAGGACTGAGCACATGTGAATCATTATCTAATTCCCTTCGGTTTTCTTGTGACCTGTTTTAGAGAGTCATGTGTGAGTTGAGTTTATTTGTGTTGCCTGACACCCCCCACCCACCCCCGTTTGCTAAGATGCCTGTGTGCTCTTTAGTGCTCCCTTCCATAGGCCAGCTTTCACTGCCAGGCCAGACTGTGGCTCACCCATTTAGTCCTTGTCTCCAGGTAAGACTTGAGGGCAAGGGTTCTGCCTAGCACATTGTTGCTGCTCTGTAGGTTCATTTGAATTAATGTTTGGGGGTGGATCACATCCAGTATAGTCCACAGATGGCCATCTAGGAGGGTGCACCTTGGTCCCTAGGGTCTACTGCTGTTGGCTTCCAGCTCATTATGGAAAACATGTCTCCCTCTGCTTGGACTGGGGAGGCAGTGCCCCAGCTGGTCCTATTAACTGGATGTGGGGCAGGCCCAGGGCCAGAGAACCGACAGGCAAGTGAGTGGGGTGCAGGTGGGAAGGTGACCCCTGCCTCTTCTCCTTGGTATGGTTGTCATTCCTGCACCAGAGTGATGTGCTGGAAGAGGAACAAGGATGATGAGAGAAAGTTCTCACCCTCTTCTCCCTGACTAGGTCCAGGTGACCGCCTCCCTGAATTGGGTGGCTCCAGGAGCATGAGCAGAGGAGGCAGTGCAGGGAGGGGACACAGTGGCTGCAGGAAGAGTCCCAAGGGAGGCAGAAGGACCACATTGGTAGGAATTGACTGCATCAGCTGAAAACCAAGTTGTACACTCGGTGACCCTCCTGGTCACAATGGAGTTACACTTTGGAGCAGTGGCTCTCCACCTTCCTAATGCTGTGAACCTTTAATACAATTCCTCATGTTGTGGTGACCCCCCCCCAACCATAAAATTAGTTTCACCGCTATTTCATAACTAATTTTGCTACTATTATGAATCATAATGTAAATATCTGTGTTTTTTGATGACCCCCTGGGGGTCTCAACCCATAGGTTGAGAACCATTACTCTGGAAGGTTCTTCTAAGTAAGCCCCTGCTTCTTTGTGCCCATGCAAAGCAGAAGGCAGTGATCTAGCATGTGTCCTTACCACTACTGACCTCCCATCAGCTAGTGTTAAAGAGTGTCAGTTTCAACATGGGTGTGTATTTCAGTAGCCGACAATGTGGGCCTGGGTTGGAGGGGCTCTTGTTACCCATGCTCTATGTGTACCTGTGCTCCATAGTAAGGGGCCCTCCCTCCAAAGCTGGACTTGCTTGCTGACTCCTGTGAGCAGCCCATCTTCTCTTCCCATGGGAGTGCTGTGCTGAGTCCCTCTCTCGCCTGCCAGGCTTCTATCCTGTAACACAAGCCCTGTTCTGCTTTCACCAATCCACCCAGAGCTTGCACACACCCTGTTAGGTGTCCCTCTTGCCACTGCCCTTCTTAGAATGCTGAATGTGCCCTGTTTCCCTTGCTGCCCCCCCCCCATCTGCATCTCATGTATCCCTAACCAAGAATGGCCCCGGAGAAGAGCTTATCATCTCTCTGAAGTCCTTCCCTGTGCTTTCTGAAGAGCCTTTGCACTATCTGCAGCTCATCCAGGAGGCACCATGGCAGTTTCTGAGGGACAGGGCTGAGAGGCCGACTGCCCACCTCCACCTTTTGTGCCCTGACAGGCTCCCTCTCACACCATACCTCTGTTCCCAGGCACTGTGGATCTTTACTTTCACCCTGTCCCCTTCTGCATTTTGGGTTTCATACTTACACTTGCCAGTTGCCCTCCCCTGTCTCTATCCTAGTCCCTGCCTCTCCTACCCCCAGCCTAGACATGCATTTTTCCTCCTTAGCTTCTTTCCCAAGCATCCCGCCCATGTGTCCATGCCTCTGACTTCCTGGTCTTGGTGAGGTCTCCTAAGACTTCCATTCGTGGGCTGCAGGTCACTGGCCTGTACTGAGAAGCCCCCTGTATGTTCTTGCCCCCCCAGGGGTCTTCAGTATCTCCAGTCTGCCTCTCAGTGCCTGAAAGTTCATGGGCATGGGAGAATTCAAAGGAGCTTTTTACTCAGGAATCTGTGTCCCAGCATGGGCAAGAGTACTCAAGTCCTCAGGTTCGCCAGGTCACCAAGTCCAAGCTATATTTGACCTAGAAAAGCCTGGCAAACACTGATTACTCAGGTGCACACAGGAAGCAGAGACCATGGAGACCGGGCCATCAACTAGAATGTTTGCAGAATTCTTCAGGACCCTTAAGACCTTCAGGAAAGCCACAGCTCCAAGGTACTCTGGCAGATCAGAGGGCTTTTGTCATCACTGATATCTAATGGAGTTATCCAGAGCAAGGGAGGCTATACGTAACTCTTGGGTTTACCACTGCACATCTACCCATTGTCTTAAAATTCCCAGGTGTTTTTAGGTATGTGTTGTTCTCTCTCTAGGTCAGATAACAGCCCCTTTATGTACCAGTAATAGTTCAGGTTTAAATCCCCTGTAACTCCCATACCTTAGTTTCCTAGTCTGTAATGTGGACAAGAAATTATACCTGCTCAAGGTTATTGTGAAGATTAAAGGATATGGCCATGAACACACAGAGATTAGCACCTGGCCATAAATTCTGATATTTATTCCCAGTTAGGATTCTTATAGAACCTGTTAAGAGAGAGCTTTGGCCTGCACCAAGCATCCAGGCTCAGGAATGTTCTGCTGGCCTGTCACATTTCTTTATTCTACTTGCCATGTCCTTCCATCTGGACACCTGGCAGTGCTTTCCTAGCTTTGTCTTCTCCAGCCCTGGGCAGCATACCTGGGGGCTGTCCTGCTGGTCTGCTGTCCTGCCTCACACCCACATCAGGGTGACCAGAACTTTCGGTCAGGGTAACTAGAACTTTCGGTCCCTTTTTACAGATGGAAAAATCGAAGCTTGTGGAGATGAGGGACTTGATTAGGGCCAACTAGACAGAATGACAAACCCAGAACTATCAAGCTTTCTTCTTCACCTCCAGATCCAGTGTCCAGATCCAGATCCAGTTGTCTGGATGCCAGGGTCCAGGGAAGGATGCAGCAGTGCAAGGGAAGGAACACAGTATTTCAAGCCAGACTTGGTGATAACCACTTGGTGGTTGGAAAATCTCTACCTCATGTGGCTTCAGTTCCATCTGTAGAGTGGATTAATAATCTCCATGTTGGATTATACCAGGTGATGGAGTGACATGGTTGTCACTACTCTTAATGGAGGCTAGCTTCAGGCAGGGTCCAGACTGAGCAAGAAAGTAGGAGGCAGATTAGGATGGAGAGGATGAAAATGGTGCCAGCAACTAGACTAGAATACGGGCTCTGTGGCAGGCTGCCTCAAAAAGAGATGTATGGCTCAGTTGCCTTCATCTGCTCAGAACTAGGCACAGTGACAGTCATACAGCAGGGCCACAGTAACTCCTTGCTCCCACTAAAAAATGAAGACTGCACTTGCATCTGATAGCTAGTTGATCTAAGAGTCATCTACTTAGGAGCTGTAGCTCAGTGGGTAGCATGTTCAAAGCATCAGGTTCAATCCCTAGCGCCAAATAAACATTGGTGCATATCTATTCCCAGCACAGAGGAGGTGGAGGCAGGAGGATCAGAATTTCAAGGTCCCACATGGAACCATCTGGGCACCAACAGCCCATTTAGCATTCACGACACAAAGACCTTCATCTTTCCAAGATGGCCCTTGGCTATATCATTGGCATTGGCCACTTTCAGTAATGAGACACATTCTTATCTAATCCCTTTGCTCTGATTGGTCAGGTCAGAGACACCTGTCCTCTGAAACAGAGGATGGCTCACCATCATCTCAATAACATGGACTGTACCTGGGTAGGAAACAGAGACAGGAGGAAATGATGCTAGCCAAGCAAAAATGATCAGTAAACATGGAAGAAGCATGCTAGCTCCCTGATGGTTGTAGAGCAGGCACTTGGCACGCGAAGACTCAATGTTCAGTTCCCAACACAGAAGCAAAACAAACACACCATTGTCTGGAGATGAGGTGGTAACAAATTGCAATTTGTGCTAATGTTAAAGTTCACTGTATACATAGAAATACAAAAGCAGTCAGAATGAAAACAGAGCTGAAGCAGAAGGAAGAAAAGAAGGGATTCATTTATACTGAATGGGGACAGCAGTTGGAATGGCCTTCCTAGACAAGGTGGTTTGAATTAGATCTTCAACAGTAGATAGTTCAGACCTATATTCATCAAGAAAGAGGGAAAGGGGACTGCACAGACAAGGCTCTAATGTCCTGAGGAAGGGAGACATAGGTGCGAATGTACTGCATGGTTCAGACAGCATTGGTACTCAGGACTGAGGCCTGTCCATGTCATCTCAGTGCAGGTGAATGG